TCTAAAAACATTGTGTACATCACATAGGCTTCAGGTAACAGAAAGCAAAGGAGGAAAGGGAATGAGACATCTCATTTACAGATAGTAAGAATAAATGAAAAACAAAGCCAAATCCTTTTGGGAAGCCTGACGCCAGAAAAAATGCGACCACCCAGATATACCGCGCAAACCATCCTTTACAACAGAGATGATGATGATGAATGAGGAGGACAATACTGACCCACATAAGAAGGTAGATAGATACAAGAACTACTAATGATAGGTAGCAGTACCTTAGAGATACAAGGACTGGGCGGCGACAATGTCTCTGCGCACCTTGGTCAAGGCAGTCTCGAATTTACCCTCCAAATCTTCGCTTCCCATGACCTTGGCCGCCTGCGCCATCTGTCGGAGACACTCTTCCAATCGGCGGAAGACGCGAATCAGACTGCCTTCGTAGACATCGGTCATTTTGCTGCATTAGGGAAAAAGGGACCAGTCAGCAATCCAATACTACCACAAAAAAGAAAACGGCTGCGAATGGTGGACATTGAAACTTACCAGATGTCAGCAAAAGACTTGCCGTTCGCCCATTCGAAGATGACCTCCATCAGCTCCCAGTGGAAACCTTGCACGTATTCCTCCTCGTTGACCGCCAACTTGGACTCCTGGGAGACCTTGGCGACGATCCGAGCCTGCGCTTGGATCTCCCTGAGGGGCTTCGCGAGGTCTTCCCGTGTCAGAGCAGGAGTCTCCTTGGTCTTCTCTTCGAAGACGAAGACGCTCAAGGCAGCTGCCACTTGCTCTGGCGTAAGGTTATTGAAGAAACCGTTGAAGAGAAGTTCACTGAGCATCAATTCGTCACCAGTACTAATCTCACAGGCAACGCGTGCCTTCAGTTGTACAACTTCGGCCTCGTTGATAAACCCGAATCGACGAAGTACACGCTTACGGCATTTCAACTCTTCGAGTTGCATAATTGCCATGGCATCCGAGATCTTCTTCTTGGTCTCCTTGATCTTGGTTCCCAAATTCACCTTCTCGGAGTACTGATCGTATAATTCGGGTAACCGTGGCGACTCATGCAGGGGGTTGGAGAGAAGACGGGACTCTAGAACCTCGATTTTCTACAAAGTCGATTAGCCAACAGTGTCACCTCTATTTGTAAATTTCCGGATACTTACCCTGAGCGTCTTTTTGAACTCGTCATCCTTGATACCCATGTTCTCGATAGGATCAAGAGTGGCAATGCCATCCGGGAAGCGCTTCTTCACTTCCTCTAGGGTGTTCTTCAAGTTGTTCCGTGTGTCATTTGGCTTCAAGTCTTTGGGAAGACGGAGGCAAACATGCGCAATGCTCTGAATACAGCTGAGAACAACTGGCACGACCTCCATGCGAGATTTTTCGCCCTCCTTGGGTGGCCTGACGCCAGCCGGTAAGTCCTCGAACGATTTGGTGCCCACGGAATCTCCATCGGCAATGTTAAGGAGAACATCCACTACATGCTTCTGATGATCGTTGAACTCTTCGTTCGAATTCTTCGGCGGCTTGCGATGCTTCCAGTTGACAACGATGCCCCACCCGAACTCAAGGTCCTTGTGCTTGATTTGAACCAAGCGCCCAGGTGTCATGTATGACAGGCAATGCTCGGGATGGCTCATCACTGCCTGCACATCATCGCCGAACTTGCGGAGCTGCTTGCGCAGATCGTAGTACTCGCGGATGGTTCCTTCATCGGGGATGCTGAGATTGGCACGCTTCTCTTCCATTTCCGTAAGTTCTATAGCACAGTCAGCAAGCAGCATTCGATAAAGCAGGGTATAGGGACGCACGTTTCTCAAGCTCTGCGACACCGGCGGTGTTTTGGAATTGATAGAAACATTTCTCCAGCATAAATTCGGGTGAGATGCCTTCCACACGCATGAGGTTAAGAATCATGTTGTAACCCAAATGGAAAGCCGAATTAAGTCGATCCTGTTCACCACGGACAATTTCCTTCGCCACGGTGGGGTCCATCTCCTCACCGACCATCATGATAACGATACCGCGATCATCAAGACCTCTTCGACCAGCACGGCCAGACATCTGAATAAACTCCGAAGGCGTGACCCAACGCTGGCTGAAGCCGTCGAATTTCCGGACGCTTGTAAAGACGACAGTTCTCGCAGGCATGTTAAGACCAATAGAGAACGTCTCAGTGGCGAAGAGTACCTTGATCAGACCTTCTTGGAAAAGAATCTCAATCGTCTCTTTGAGGATGGGGAGCAGACCAGAGTGGTGGACACCAATACCCCTGCGAAGAAGAGGCAAGATATTCTGAATTTGGGGCAAATCCCTGTCCTCCTCGGACAGCATTTCGATCGCGCTGTCAAAGACCTTCTGAACCATCTCTTTCTCGGAATCGTCGTTGAAGGCCAAGTTCTTCATCTGCAGAGCACAGCTCTCACATTCGCGCTTGCTGAAACTGAACACAATGACGGGATTCAGGTTCTTGAGCATGACCATCTTCACGATCTTGAAGATGTCGCTCTTTTCCTGAGTGCCACCCTTGTTCAATCTCTTGTCCTTGCCCTTTCCTTTCCGCTTAGCCATCGCATCAGACGGGTCGTCGCCCCTCTTGTCGGCGATACTGCTCATGGCTTTCTGGAAATTCTCCTCGCGGAATACTCCCTTCTCATCCACAATAAGATGCATACCTTCCGATCCATTAGGGAAGAAGTAGTGTTGTAGTGGGGTCGGCCGGAAATCGGTATAGACGACATGGCATGGTTGGTTGTGCATCTTTGTTACCCATTCGGCGAATTGCATAGCATTGGGAATGGTGGCAGACAAGAATACATATCGAACCTTGTCGGGCAACAAGATAATGGTTTCCTCCCAGACGACACCTCTGACTATAGCGTAGGTCAGTATTTGGCAAACAAGAATCAGATCTATTGGACATACTCGCATCACGCATGTAGTGAATTTCATCAAAAATGACCCAGGCAACTTCGCGCATAATCTCAGAACCCCGGTACAGCATGGACCGCAAAATCTCAGTTGTCATGACAAGGCAAGTGGCTGTGGGATTGATGGTGACATCTCCAGTCATCAAGCCCGCATCTCCAAATTCCTCAGCAAACTCTCGGTACTTCTGGTTACTCAAAGCCTTGATCGGACTCGTATAGATAACTCTCTGGTTGTTCTTCAAACACTGCGCAATGGCGTACTCGGCGACCACGGTTTTTCCGGCACTAGTATGGGCTGAAACCAAGACACTTTCTTCTCTCTGAATCGAAGCAATCGCAACCTGCTGGAAAGGATCCAAAGTGAATGGCCACACTCTGGCGGGGGTCTCCGGCGGCTTGTGTTCGGAAATGGGCACGTATGGGTACTTCGGCGGGATGGCGACCTGATGCCGCACCTGGTGGGACAACTTGACAGAGGTAGAATCGTTGACGCCCTGAAGGCCTGCTGATCCCGCGACTTCGCGCTCCTGCTCCGTCTCGAATGAGTCCGCTACCACAGGCTCCGGCTCCTTCTCGAGGCGCGGGCGTTTCGCATCCGGTTGTTCATTGTTGTCGGCGGCGGGGCTTTCTTCGTCCTCCTTCGCTTCATCTTCTTCTTCTTCGACAACAGGCGCATCCGTGATCTCGACATCCTCAGGGGTTTCCGTAGCAGCACCGTCCTCCTTCACGTCGCCATTGACCTGTCGCTTCTTGCTCTTGTCTTTCTTCGCTCGTTTGGGAGCTCCGTCCGCAGGCCTAACGGCCTGAGGCTGGTCCTCGAAGACGTCGAAAAGCTCATCCATCGTCGACAGTCTGCCACAAAGGACGCGGGAACGCACACTGGCCTGGACGGTGGTTGACGTTCTGCACCGTCTCACAGAAGAGCGATCGCACCGAGAAATTTCAATGAACCCGTGAAGGGAAGCGGCGTGTGATTGGCCCAGGCCTCTCAAGGCGGTGAATGGCTGCCGGCGAAACTTGCCGTTCGGAAGAGCAAGTCACGTGAGCGGACAGCCGGGGAGCAGCCGGGAGTATCGTTCCACTCGACTTGCTCGCACCTCCGCCCGTTGATACCAGTAGGATTGTCTCGACCGTCGTGCTTCTCTGCCTCATTCAAAGTGGGTGAAACCTGTTGCTTTTCATACCCCATCCAGTCAATTGCCTCTAACTCAGCTCAAGATGTACGCTGCTACCGCCCTCCGCGCCAGAATGGCCACCTCCCTCGTTGCCCGTCGTGGCTTTTCCACCACCCGCGCTCAGCTCGGTAGCCCTTACCACTACGCCGAGGGCCCTCGCTCCAACATTCCCTTCAACCCCCTGACCAAGTACTTCTTCTGGAGATACTGGGCCTTCATGGGTATGTGGCCCAATTGGACGCTGTAGTCGTTGCGGATTGGACGTCTGACTGACTTGCTTACTCTAGTTACCGGTTTCGGTGCCCCCTTCGCCATTGCTGGTATGTTACCATTCGTCTTGCGACAGTCCACATTCGTCTCTCTAACATGTCCATTCCTACAGTCTGGCAGACCTACAAGACCCGCTAAACGCTCTCTCGTGCTGTATTTCCACATGCAATGGCATTGTTGGGCATTGGCAGTTGGTCGAAAATGTATCCTACGTTGGAAGCGCTCGGAAATTGTGTATAAAGCTAGAGAATTTATTATGCTCTGATTCAGGAAATTCCCGGTGTGAAACTCACACCAAAAACATCTGTAGTTGGGGGACGAAGTGCGGTGTGGTGGTGGTTGTCTGATGCCTTATTAGAATATGGATGAAGTCATTGGTCGATTTTTTGTCAGTAGGAAAATTAAAATCTTTGGCTCGGCTTCTGATATGATATTGTTCGCAATTCCGTTGGCGACGCGCTTGAAGGAGAATAAAACCTACACTTGCAAGATCAAATAATTAACTCTATGAGAGTAAATTTCCTTTAGAAATTATTTTTGCATTTTCCTTTTCCCCGTTCATTCTTTTCCCCAGTGAAGCTTCCGTCGATTCATGGCGGCGGGGTAGAACACTACTCTTCAAAAGATGCGCAACCTCAAAATCGTGCGCCTCGCCGAGGTGCAGCTCCAGAATGAGCTCCCTTTGACAGCAACAGCTTGGGATACAGCTTCAGATGCTGTCGTTTGCACATTCGGGCCTTCTGCGTCCCAGCCAGTCATAGAGCTTCGCAGAAAGCGCCATGACGCCTATTTTTCGGACCCCGTAGGGGCGGATGCATTTGAAATCATCGCATCTTGGGATGCGCCATGCCCACTACCAGATCTGGAATGCGACCGGGTGCTCTCGCTGCACTACTTTGCTGACAATCTCACAGCCTGTCTGGTGCTGGAAGGAGGCGACATTGTCATTGTCCGTGAAGAACCCCTTCCTGGCGAGGACAAGATTGAGATTGTGGGTACTGTTGATGTTGGTATCACGGCTGCTGCATGGTCCCCCGATGAGGAGCTCCTGGCCTTGACTACAAGAGCCAACACTTTCCTTTACATGACGAGAGAATTCGAAAACGTTGCCGAAATTACTTTCACGCAGGAGGACCTCCGCGCCTCTCAGCATGTCTCTGTGGGCTGGGGAAAGCGCGAGACCCAGTTCCAGGGCAAGCGTGCCAAGGCTCTTCGTGATCCTACTGTCCCCGAGAAGGTGGACGAGGGTAAGTTGAGTGCTAGCGATGATGGAAAGACGACCATTAGCTGGCGTGGTGATGGTGCTTATGTTGCCGTGAATAGCATCGAAGCTGGCGTTAGACGTGCGATCCGGGTTTACTCGAGAGAGGGAACTTTGGATAGCGTCAGTGAGCCAGTGGATGGACTGGAAGGTGCCCTCAGCTGGAGACCCTCTGGCAATCTTATTGCCGGTATCCAGCGCCGCGAAGATAGAACTGACGTGGTCTTCTTCGAAAGGAACGGCTTGCGCCATGGAGAATTCACTCTCCGCCTGACGGAAGAAGAACGGTCGACATGGGCTTCGAATATTCATTTGAGCTGGAATGTCGACTCAACGGTGCTTGCGGTGCAATTCCACGACAGAACCCAGTTCTGGACAACAGGCAACTACCACTACTACCTCAAGCAAGAAATTCCAATTGGAGTGAATGCAGAATATCCGTATCCATTCTCCTTGAAATGGCATCAGGAGAAGGCCTTACGATTCATTGCAGGGGCTTCAGGTAATTGATAAGTTGCAACTATCTATGGTCAGTTTTCTAATGCGTTTCAGGGTCGATGTTGGATGTGGACTTTGTTTTCGACGTATCTCAGGGATCCACCACCAGCCCGGATGATGTTGGCGCTGTTGCTGTCGTCGACGGAAGTAAGTCTCTCCACCATACATGTTTGACCGAACGTATTCTAACGGGCGGAAGAAATCCTCAAATTGACTCCTTTGAGGCTGGCGGGAGTTCCTCCTCCTATGGCTCACAATGAGCTGACACTAGACTCAAACATCGTTGATGTGGCATTCAGCAAGTCGGGAACGCGGATGGCTGTTCTTATGAAGGATCGGTTTTCCATCTTCCTTTGGTCTCTCAAATCGAGACCTGTTCCATCTCCAATCCTTGAATCTAGTTATCCGTTGTCGGACGCGCCTGATAGCCGACCCCGACAGATTGCCTTTGTAAACGAGCATGAAGTTTACATCCTCAAGGACAGTGGCCCGAACAACACTCAGATTGAACGCACTGCTTTGGAGACACGCACGACTCAAGTTGCTTATCAGGCAGAGGATTCCGAGCAAATCTTGTCAATGTTCACCTCCCTTGGGCATGAAGCTTTGTGGTTCTCTCACGTTAAAGCGCCTAACCAGCCGGTTACGTACTCCTATGTTTCCATGCCTTCCTCCGAGGAGTTCCAGATTTTGCCCTGGCTCGAGAGCCCGACAGTTGATACTTACTGGGCCAAGGCGGCGCAAATCTCTGAGGATGAGGTAAATCCTTCTTGCAACTCAGATTACGTTATGACTAACCTTTTGAAGCATGTTCTGGTCTCCATGACAAGATCCGGAGCCTTGTATGCCAATAAGCGGCTCCTTGCGAAGAACTGCACATCCTTCCTTGTAACCCAGGCCCATATCTTGTTTACAACCTCCCTTCACCTGATCAAATTTGTGCACTTGACTACAGTGGAAGGTGAGAAATATGGACAGCCTACCAGCCCTAATCACATCAGCTAATCCCATTCTACAGAGATGGATATTCCTCCCGACACCCCCGAGACGGATGAACGATGCAGAAGTATTGAACGTGGCGGACGTCTGGTGACAGTGATGCCCACAACATTTGCTGTTATTCTGCAGATGCCCCGTGGAAACCTCGAAACCATCTATCCCAGAGCCCTCGTTCTGGCCGGTATCAGAAACTTCATTGACCGTAAAAACTACCGGGCTGCGTTTTTGACCTGTCGTAGTCAGATGGTGGATATGAATATCATTCACGACTATGCCCCGGAACAATTCATGGACAACATCCAACTGTTTGTGGACCAGGTGGAGAAGATTGATTTTATTGACGAGTTTATCTCCCGTCTTAGGTATGCACATCACCTTGTATTCAAAGCATGCTGGCTGATTACTTTCCAGTGAGGAGGATGTTTCCCAGACTCTCTACAAAGACACCCTGAAAACACCGAAGGCAGACAATGCGCCGACCGGAATTGTTGCAGTAGCACCAAACAAGGGTAGCAAAGTCAACCGAATCTGCGACGCCTTTTTGTCAACTTTGGAGAAGCGCATTGACACCAACCTGCACAACCTGATCACTGCGCATGTCTGCAAGTCACCACCGGATCTTGAGTCCGGTCTGCAACTGGTTGCGCGCTTGAGAGGTCCGTATTCCAGACTCCCAGGTTCCTACTCAATACTTACCTCTCCTGCAGAACAATCGCCCGAACAGGCAGACGACGCAATCGAGCATATGTGCTTCCTGACGGATGCTAACCAGTTGTACGATAATGCGCTGGGGCTCTACGACCTCGAGCTCACCCTGCTCGTCGCCCAACAGGCCCAACGGGTGAGCAAGCATCCTTATCTGAAACCTTGTCACTCGCACATACTAACCAACCGCACCAGGATCCCCGCGAGTACCTACCGTTCCTGCGCAAGTTGCAGCAGCAGCCCGAACTTCGCCGCTACTTCGAGATCGACAACTACCTGGGCCGGACATCCAAAGCCATCAAGCATCTACACGCTCTGAACGCCCACGATGAACTCCGCGCCTATACAATCAAGCACGTCCTCTACAAGGACGCCATCGACCTCTACAAGTACCAGGCGGAGCAACTGCGCGAGATGACGAACCTGTACGCCGACTACCTCTTCGACCGGTCCAAGTACAAGGAGGCAGGCATCGGTACGTACCCAATAACCACCCCTTACCCCCATTCCCAACACCCATCAAACTAACGAACACCACCCCGAATGCAGCTTACGAATCTCTGCAACTCTACACCGACGCCTACAAGAGCTACCACCTGGCCCATCTCTGGCGCGAATCCCTCTACTGCGCGATGCTCGTGCCCCTCACCCCCACGGAGCTAACCACGCACGCCACAGCCCTGATAAACACCCTAATCGAAGAATCCAAGGACTACATCTCAGCCGCAACCATCCACGCCGACCATCTACACGACATCCCCGGCGCATCACGGCTCCTCTGCCGAGCTTCCAAATTCTCCGAGGCAACGCGCCTCCTCACCCTGCACAACCAGGCCGCCTTAATCCCCGAGATCGTGGACACCGGCCTCGCTGACTCAATGGGCAGCATGACCGACCTGCTCGCGGACTTCCGCTCACAACTCAACGCCCAGGTGCCCCGGATCCGCGAACTGCGCGTCCGCCGCGCCACCGACCCACTGGCCTACTTCGGCGGCGACCCTACCCTCGGCGACGGGGCCGCGGGGGTGGATATCCCCGACAATGTGTCGTTGGCGCCCACTGACGCTTCGACATTGGCGGGCCGGTCCATGTTCACACGGTATACGGGCAACACGGGAAAGACGGGGAAGACGAGCTCGTCGCGGCATACGTCGAAGACTCGGAGGAAGGAGGAGAGGAAGCGTGCGCGTGGTAAGAAGGGCACGGTGTATGAGGAGGAGTACCTTGTTAATAGTGTGAGACGGTTGCTGGAGAGGGCGAACTCGACGGTGAGTGAGGTGGAGGGCTTGGTTGACGCGTTGTTGAGGAGGGGCATGAGGGAGCGGGCGGTGGCGGTGGAGAAGGCGATGAGTGAGGTATTGAAGTTGTGTAAGGAGAGTCGGGAGGAGGTCTTTGGGGCTTTGGTTGCTGAGGCGGTTGGTGGACAGACTGGGGAGGGTGATGCTGGGGAGGGGGAGAATGGAGCTGGTGCTGCCTTTGGGGAGGATGGGGTGCCTCATGCTACGGGAGGACAGAGTGTGTTTTGGGATAGTGTTACGGCTACGGCGAATGTTGGGAAGGGGAGGGAGGTGCCGGCGGTTAAGGAGATCAAGTTATCGGCTTTGTTGAACTGAGGGGCTTTCCCTAGGTCGTTTTTGCATTTGGTAACGTTGTTATTCTTACTAGGTTATACTAAAAAGTCATACATAGATCATTTAAAAATTCATGCAATCCGTCAAGTGTTTTGTTTATCATATTAAATGGGTATGGACTGAGAATAATGTTGAAGGGGCCCGAAAAGATGTCTATATTATATAGAGGGACACGACCTTCTACCATCGGAAGTGCTAGAAGGCCTGGTAGTCTGGGAAGTGTGCAATAGATGCAAAGCATATGGGTATCTTATCTCAAGGGTGTTCGGTGTGTGTGCGCGAAGACCCTCGATTCGTTTAGTTGCTGGTGTCTCAAGCCTCCCAGAAGGAGATGAAGTCTCTAGGCAGAAAGAATATCGCCCTTCTCACTGACAAGATGCTGGTCCACTGAGATGGGGCCCTCGCCAACACCGGTCAAGATCACACGGCTCACGCCATCCTTGAGCGACTCCACGGTGCGGGGGTCGATCTCATCCAGGGACACGCCGGGGGTGGTAACGTCCTTCAGAGGCGTGTAGAAGGGACCTTCCCAGCCCTCCGTCTTCTCACCAAGGATAGCCTTGACGGTACCGGCAACAAGCTCGGTATCCTTCTCAAGGTAGTAGATGACAGCGTTCGGGCCCGCATCGTAGGTGTACGCGCAGACGGTCCGGCCGATTGCGCGGTTAATATCATGGACGAGTCTGACGGCAGCGCGAGAGACGTCGTTCATGTAGAAGATCGGAGGCCAGGAGTCCAAGCAAGTGGCGTGGAAGCTGTTGGAGTCGCGCATCGTGATCTCTGCGAAGGCGGGGAAATCGCGGTTCTGGATGGCGGTCTCGATGGCAGCCATCCGCTCCGGAACAACAGTGCTCGCGCGGGTAGCAAAAAGGTTCGAGGTAGCGACGGTCGTCTGCATACCCTCAGTGCTGGGGACATCCTTCTTTGCGGCACTGACAACCAGGATGAGGGCACGCATTTCAGGCCAGTGAGACTGCGGCGCAACCTCCTCTGCCAAACTGTCGCTTCCATCCTCCAAGGATCCAGCGCGCCAGGCGACATAACCACCCATCAGAGAACGGCAGGCGGAACCAGAGCCCTGACGAGCGATGCGGCTCAGATCACGGGGCGACTGGGGCAGCTGGTAAAGGTCTGCCACGGCACGAACGAGGGCCGCAAACCCGGCAGCCGAACTGGCGAGACCGGCGGCGGTGGGGAAGTTGTTCTCGGAAACAATGCGAAGAGGGAAGCTGGACAGCTTGGGCAACGAGGGGTTTGCATCCTCGAGCTCGCGACGGTGGGCGCGCAGGCTGGCCAGACAAGCAAGTGTACGCTTAGAGGATTGGATGTCTTGGGGCTTGCCGTTCAGGGTGAGCTCGTCCTTGGCGGGGTAGAAAGGAGCGCAGGAAGCGGTGGTGAGCGTGCGGAGGGAACGCTGCGAAAGGGTGACGGAGAGAGAGGAGTTGGTAGGAAGGTTGAGAACAGCATCGCGCTTGCCCCAGTACCTTTTCAGTAACGATTAGAATCCACCAAGCGTACGTACTATCGGTGAGTGTGGAGGGGGAACATACTTGATGACGGCGATGTTGACGGGGGCGGTGGTGGTGGCCCGGAAGACCTGACTGTCAGCGGAGGCAGCCATTGTAGACGAATTGAGCCAAGCAAGAGTGTCTTGAAGACTTGAAGACCGAGAAAATGAGGAGGGAAGATAGAAAGAAACGTTCAGGGGCGAAGCTAAAGACGAGCGACGAAAAGGCGGGGGATTTCCTTGTTGGGAAAGTTCGGGGCTTTTGTTGTCGGGTTCCCGAGGCGGTGAGCGGCCAGAATTTGTCCGCCTTTCCGTTCGATCCAATCGATTTGCAATCAAACCTCATTATCCCATCCATTCCTCTCGCTCCAAGTGTCGCGGCCGAATCTCCGTTTGTCTCTCCGTCCCGATCCTCACCTAGAACAATGGGTGCCGGTGCGAGTACTCCGTCACCCGAGCCGCCTGCGGCTGGTGTATGCCCTGTTGATCACAAAACCCGCGAGGCTTGGTTGCAGCAGCATCAAGCATCTGGCGGCGCTGCACCCCCTCATCCTCTACCCTCCGAAGATGGACAGCATTCGAAAGGCAAATCTCAAAGGCCTCTGTCAACCGACCGTGAAGTGAGCAGTATACCGCGAGCCATTGATACTACCTCCCAGCCGTCGAATGCCGACTCGTCAAATGCGCCCGCGTCACCCTACGCTGCTACGGCCGCATCGCACGGCACCCCATCCAATGCAGAAGCCGAAACAGGTCACGACCCGAATACTGGAAACTGGATCTATCCGTCAGAACGGCAATTCTTCGAAGCTCTTGTGCGCAAGGGCAACACTCCTAGCTCCACAACATCCGCCTCGGAACTGGCGACCACTGTCGCATCCATCATTCCCATCCACAACGCCGTCAATGAGCGCGCCTGGCAGCAGATCTTGCAATGGGAAAGTCGAGCTCCCATGTCGGACCCCGGCAGTAAAAAATGTGGAGGCCCAAAGCTGTATGCCTTCCGCGGTCTGGGTGTCGACCCGCAGTTCCTGAGCCCTCGCGCCCGTATAAATAACCTGATGGGCTACCAGCTCCCCTTTGATCGGCACGACTGGGTTGTAGAGAGATGCGGTGGTGAAAGGATCGAATATGTCATTGACTTCTACCAAGGGAAATCGTCGGGTGCAAACAATGCTCCCGGCCTGGCTGCCAATGCTGGGCCCGGCAAGCTTAGCTTCTATCTGGATGTTCGGCCAAAACTGAACACAGTAGAGGGCTGCCGGATGAGATTCAGCAAGATTATGGGACTATGAAGCTCCCCAGTATTCTTCTTCTTGCGCTGCATCAGAGGCGAAAAACGGAGTTTTGGGAATGGTTTTGGGCAAGCAACGCAGTGTACAATTCGTGTATAACAGAAGCTATGTATGATATAGAGCATGGAAAGATAGAAACGGCAAATGTAAATAGAACATCCTCGCTCCTTATGCGCCTGAGAACCCATAGCGATCGACGTAACAGAACACAACAAGCCGCCTGCAGTAGCGAAAAAGCACAAGCACATGCGTAAAGGTACATCGAGAGGATATCATCAAGATAGGGGACAGTCATGATGTGCGACATCCGGTGTCGTGGTTGCGGGGTGTGGAAGCGAGAATACAGAATTAACGCTCAAGTCTATCCCAGGGTTGCCGCCAGGACGATGATGGTAAGGATAACAGCAAGAATGACAAGCAGACAGCAAGCCTTGTTGCGCGCATTCTTCTGGTACCGGCTGGCGCTACGGAGCTCGACGTTTGCTCCACGAGTGTCATCGCCAACTCGTTCAACATTCTCGCTGATAATGTCAAGCTGTCCACCTTGCTCATGGACAATGTGAGCCACGTCCCGGAACAGTTCATTGAGTTCGCCAACGCTCTGCTCAATGTTGCGGATCTCAGCCTCGCGCTCGATAATGAGGGCCTCCTGGAAGTCCACTTCGTCCTGATTCGCAAGGCGGGGCTGTTCCTCCAACAATTGGTCTTGCTGTTGCTGCGGCTGATGGTCACCTCCGGAACCAGGCTCCGCTTCGTCTACGGCAGTCCGAGCGGCTGCTGCGGATGCCCGTTGCTTCTCCAAGGCACGACGCTGAACAGTCTGGAACTCTTCTAGGGTAGATTTGAATTCGGACGAGAGCTTCTGCTGAGTCCATTTTTGGGAAGGCTAGTGAGAAATACATTAGTATTGCTTGTTCGGTCGCAGCGCAGTTGGGGGTGGGGGGTTATATATGGGCGTAACATACACTGACATCCTCCCATGTCTGGACCTTCTTAATCCCTTCTGCGACATCCCTGAAACCCCCCCGAGTATCCTCCAGGAGCTTGTGGACTCTCTCGCGCACACGCTCAGTGTCTCGCCTCGTTCCCAGAAGGGCAATCTGATCGGACAACCGAGTGATGTTGGAGGTCAGGGTAAACAGTTGGTTGGAGAGACCCTCGGTCAAACGATGGAATTCGGGGTCATCGCGATACTGGGGATCGTCGGAGCGACGGAAAGTTGTAGGCTGTGCCTCTAGCGAGTTCAAGCGATCAAACGACATGGCGGAATGAGATGCGACAGTGGATGGATGAAGGTGGGATCATTCGGCCGATGCAACCGGCCGGCTCTCTCCCTGCTAAAGTAGTAGTACGTTATCGCTGTCAGGTGTCGACGGTTGCCTGGCCGCACAGATGCCATGATTCGCAGGCTGCCACTCACCTGACGCCATCGATGGCTGGTGGGGTGTCACATGACATGCCGTTTGTGGCTGGTGCGTGTTTTGATGCTTTGCCCGAAAAGCTTCACTTTATTGTCGCATCCGACGCCGACACTCCTCCTTGAAGCTCCACTTGCCCCCCTTCGGAGCTTTCCGTTCTGACAGGCTGACCGGATACCTCAATTCCTCCTGTCATCTGATCATGCAGTGAAATTGCTTTGTCTCTTCTCTCCCTAGAGATCTCACAGTCCCTCTTCCACCTTGCACCATGGCTGCAGCACAGCCTCGCCCGTATCGGCGCATCTTGACCTCTGCGCTGCACAGACGATTCGTTCATGCGTCGGCACTGGCGCTTCTGGTCTGCTATGTAGTGGCATTTGCTATTGGCGATAAGTCATCTTGTAAGTTTACACCAACACCGAGCGGCGTTTGACAAGCTGTGATCGCTAACCAGCTGTGATATCTCGATAGTCTTGTGGGCTTGGTTCCCCATTGGAGGATGTGGAGTTCGCACAGTTCTTCTCTTCCTCTGCAGTCTCGTTGTCTTCGTCCTCCGTGTTGGTCAGATGCACATCGGTGCCAGGACAACCTCCTCCCCGCTTAGCACCTTCAAATACCTCGTTCCCCTCGACGTTATACAGACTTTTGGCTGGTACTTGTTCTCCGCCTGGTGGTTCACTGAAATCTACAGGTGGTCTTCTTCAAGTAGCGCACACCTGGAATTGGTGAACCGAGCTAGGTATGTTTCCTGCGACGACGAGCTCAAGCGGTTCTCTTGAACTCGCCTAACTAGTTATGCTAGACCTCACGAACGAGCAAGCTTAAACGAAAGAGCAATCTACCTTTATACCTACCACTTTCTCCTGGCAGTCGCGCAGTCAGTGGTTCATCTTTACTACGACTACGATCGCGTCCCTCTTCCCGTTGCCAGGAGGGTCGCTGGCTCCGCTGATGAAGATAGCCGGCAGGAGCAATCGATCTCTAAACGCCTCCAGTCAGCATTGCCGCAGCTCATCAAAGATGGGATGAAACGGAGTATCTTGGTTTCCATTCTTTGCCCATTCGCATACGCCTTCGTCCTCCGGCGCCCGGCATGGAGCACTACACTGTACTTTGCAAAGCTATTCTGGGATTTCCCGAGATCCGCTGCATCCCCTCCCGGCATTATCCCGCCAATCCTCGGAGTTATCGTGCGAACCTTGATTTCAGGAGGCCTCCTGGTTCTCTGCTGGCAGACAGCTAACCTCTTTTTCTCCGTGTTCCTCAGCAAAGAGCCGCTCAAGCGAGGCCAGCCCTTGACGGCTGAAGCCAAGGATCCCAACGGCAGCTTGCTGAATGGACTAAAAGCAAAGAAGGAAACCGTTCGCGCTTTTGCATTCTGGGAGCTGTACTTCATCAGTCAGAGATTCCCTGACCGCCGGAAAGCCATCTTCAACGACATCGATCGCGAGGAGGGTGCAGCTTGGTCGCAAATCCTGCAAGCCGCCACAGATGTCATCACGGGCGTTACCACTCGCATCAGCGAGGCTAAGAATCCATCATCTGGCCCTAAGCCTGCACCAGTCCAGCAGTCCGAGCCCGTCCTTCACTCCCTGCCACGGCTGACGGACCCCCCTAAGGCGGACAACATCTTCGCTCCGTCCCCCAAGGCAACAACTCGCCAACAAAAGTTCGGCGAAGCCCTCACCACCACCGCCAGAGCCTACGGCAACTCCCCAGACTGGACGCCTACCGCACGCGCCAAAGCCCGCGATGTCTTGGACCGCGCCTCCTCCGCCATGCTGAGCCCTGAACGCAAGCAGAAGCTGCTCGGTTCCTCCCAGGAGCTCAAGATGCTCACCGCGCCATCAACTAGCAAGCCCGAGAACCTGCACCCCTTCCTCGCTCAGCTCCTCCGCTCTCCACTAGGCCGACTCTTCCGCCAAACCTACGCTCGTCGCCTCTCCGGCATTGTCCTCGGCACACCCCACGCCAACCTCTGCTCCGTCATCGACGCCACCGAATCCATCACCTGCCTTCTCATCAAGAGTCTCGCGGAGGACCAATACGGAAAGGTCCAAGCCGACGTAGCCACCGTCGTACGCCTACTGACCGATACCATCACGACCCTCGAACCTTTCATTAACGGCGGCCTCGATGCTCACTGGACAGACGTCAACTTCCCCCCATCCAGCAACCCGGAAGCACAAGCTGCGGCTCGCCGTGTCCCTGATGTCGACCTCGTCCTGGACACAATGAAGGCATCCCTCAAGGACCTTCTGTCTTCCTTCGGCCCTTACTTCAAGAACCTCGGCCTTGGAGCCAAGGACTTAAGATTGGCCAAGGAAGCAGCCGGTGTCGTGGAAGAGGATCCCTTTAATTAAAGGCAGTGCGCGTGGGGCGCATGTAGTGTACGTATTGATTGGGGGCCTGATTCGGGAGTTGGAGTGTGTCCTTGATTGTTTGCTTGCTTTACCGCTTTTATCACATCACCCATTCAACTTCCCACCAGAGATGTCCCTGTTGTCCTTGTTGTATGGCACATCTAACTGACTCCATCCATCTAGCGCGCCACGGTCACGTGCTGCAATGAATAGAGTCAGTTAGCTTTGATGTCGCTTTCTTCACTGCCTTTCGATATTATTGTTGTTTCTTCGTGACTGGTATTTCTTTCATAATGCCCCCTTCCCTTTGGAAAAGTTACGACCTAGACTTTGTGGGTTTTGGCTATGCATTGCTCTGGCGTTAAGTGGGCAGGCAGTGAGTATAACTGGCTGTATGTATGTATTATTTATTTACTTCATTTAGTGAATGAGAGGGTTTAGAGTTTATTTACTACTACTTACTACTAACACAAACTTCCTGAGGTGCGAAAATATTCTCCATGTGCCACTTGGATAGTAGTTAGTAGTTCGAAGAGTGTCTATATCCGTCCATAGATGGAATTTAAGTTTTTTCTTAATTCTACTTTAGGTATATACATATACCCAGCACGCAGCCAGGTTCAGAGATGTTCTAACATGGACATACATATTCCAAGACAACAAGACATGTAGATAGATAGGCGCATTCAAAGCAGGCTGGTCGAATCGTCATCGCCGTATAATGCTCGGAAAGGTGTGAATGAGGTTGAAAGAAAAGGTGACACAAAGGGAAAAAGAAATCAAGCAGGCCATTAATGCAAACCCAAACTCACGATCAGCCGCCCCGCCAAAGATCATCCCGTCCAGGACTCCGAGTTTTGTTATCGCCAAAGAAACAGATTTGAAAAGAAAGATGTTTCCGTCATGTCACATCAATACCACTGTGCCCCGAGATCCGTTTTATAATCCCCCCCCTTTTTCCCGGTGTGATTTTGATACCCAGATTCCCCGTTATATGCTAAATGCGTCAAAGATTCAGGACCACAAATGGAAAATCTCCGCTGAACGCCAGGTTGGATCATGGGCGCAGTGATGTAATAGATAGGGAGAAAGGTGTGTATGTATATGAGAGAAGGTTAAATGAAGTATGCTCTTACTAAGAGCATTGCCCTCTTTCAGCAATCGGCCGGCGTGGGCGGAATTAAACCCCACAAGGCACATTTGCTGTCAGCAACCACTGAGGACCTCGTTGATTTTATTTGATGCAAGCGTCCCACTTCCATTGCCGCCAGAATTTTTGGGCTCGGGAGGTGCCTCTTCCTTCATGCAGGCGTTCTCTAATATGTTGGTCCACTTCCCGCTCGTACCAGCATGGCTGTGTTTCAGATGTTGTCGGAAATGGTCGGCACGATAGAACTTCTTCGCATTGTTGCACTCTCCAAACTTGTGCACTGCAGTGAGATGCTCGAATCTGCGGTCCCAGTCTGGCTGGGGGAAATTCGGGAATTCTTCACCACAGTATCCGCAAATGTCGTGAGAAGGCCCAGAGCTCGTTTGGGCCGAAGAAGACGAAGGATGGAACGCTGCTTGGTATCCCGGAAGTGCTGCACAAGACCAAGAGTGACGCCGCAAATGGAGAGAATTCTGATGACGCTCCGCCTCGTTTTTGTTCTTGAACCGATTGTTGCAATATAAGCATGAGTACTGCTTCTCCATCTCATGGGCGCTTTAAAGGTATTAGACGAGACAAATAAAAAGCAAGAGGCTAGACGAAACTTACCGGAGTTCCTCTGGACTGTCGAACTTTTTGGGCTTCTTAGGACAACAATCGCAAATATACAGTCCACCCATCTTAGGACCTGCTGGCTTTGGCAAGGCAAGTGACGTCTGCATAGATACTTTCCGAGCAGTGTCGACACTAGATGGTTCTAAGGTGCCGGTACTTGGGGGATTTCGAGAGATGGACGAGCCCGGAAGATTCACAGGAGAACTAGGATTGAGAATCGACTTGTCATGGAAGGTATCAAGATCGGAATTGGGCGACAGTCCCCCGGGTGAGCGATCATAGCTCGTCATGCTGCTTGCCCCCAAAGAGAAGGCCGCAGAGGAGTAAGACCCAGATGTTCGTAGGCTCAATGATGAAGCAGCTGAGAGGCTTCCATGACTGGGTGCATAAGGAACATTGACCGATAGAGAGTTGCCAAATGGATGGCCGCTTGTCCGTCGCTGGGAGAGGTCACCGTTACTCGTGGCCACGTTAAGTACATGCCTATCGCCATTAATCGGCTCACGGGGAGGAGAGGATGCCCTCCGCTTCGTGCCTGGCTTAGTAGCTTCCAGATAAGGTGGCGTTGCTTGTCGGACATTGAAGATTCGTGGAGGCAGAGATTCGTCGGTTGAAAAATCACCTTCTATATCAGAGAAGACGCCTTGATCGTAGCTTCCTCGGTTTGATCGACTGGGCAGACTGGTAGTTTCATCGAATAAGGGAGTCGTTCCACCGCCGCGACGGCGCGACAAGTCGCGCATGTACCCTGGTTGGTCATAGTCCACCGCAGACGATGGGGCACTACTCTCAACGCTTGGACTTCGCCCTCCGACATAATCTTTCCAGCCGATCTTGGTCCCAGGCGATACCCCACCTGACTGGTAGCTACTCGGCCACCTGACATCAAGGCTAGACCCCTCGGAACCACCGGGAGAAGGGAGACCACCAAAATTCCTCGAGGGTATGGTGAGTGTCGAAAGTAAGCCCTTGTTCTCGCTACCGGAGCTGATAGACTGTCGTGGAGAAAGCGGTTTCCCTATTTTCGACAAGAGGTGTTGGTCGTAGGCATCTGATGAATCCTTCACGCTTCGTCGAGAGAAGTCTCTTTCTCCCTTCAAGATCGGGCTGGGACTATTGACTGAAATGGCATTCCGGAACCCTTCATCCATCGGTGGTGGGGGTTCGATTCTAATGTGAGCCTCGGGGCTCCTAGAGAAAGGTAAACCGCTGTGTCGACCATCTAACTCGTCGATAGCCATTCTATCACTTTGAGGCGAAGCTTCCGGGCGACGGTGACCGCCGAGGAGACTCGAGTTGGGATTTATCGGTGCGAGTTTGTGTGGCCCTCTAACATTCGCATGTAGCCAGCCAGCGTCATAGCCGTCCTCGAGGTCACTGATTCGGGGTGGTGGGGGTAGTGGCGGAGGAGCGAGATTGCTCATTGAATTCGTTGGAATAGGCATAGGTCCCGAGAACGATTGCCCGGGCATATTACAGGGCGACCTGGCGGGGGAATTCTGACGGTCGAAGCTACCACTGTTGAAGTCATACACGTTAATCGAAGGAGGCGCAATTCGCGGAATGTCCATCGTACACAGAAGGTGGCGAGAAGCTGTTCATGGACAACAGAAAGGAATGGTCAAGGCTGTGTAAGTTTGCACTGTCGTAAACGACACAAAGCAGTGTATATCGCTCTCGTGAATGGCTCGCGACGCCGGTGCCGAAAGCTGTGCCGAAAGATGGATGTTCTCGACAGAAGAACCTGCTTCTAGACCCCGTTCCAGATGCTGCGGGGGATGTCGGTAAATGAGTGGACGAAGTCGAATGGTTGCTCAGCAGCAGGGAAGTGGCAATTCGGATAGATTAAGCTTATGTCCTGGGTAGTCAGGTGAATTTGATCACAGACAGAATATCGAACGAGAGCACACTACCTGACTAGGAAAAACTTTAGAGTTCACTTTGGAAAAAGCCGTTGAAAGTACCAGCGATCAACTGTGTTGGTGCCTTTCTGTCAGTTGCGCACAAGTTTGCGAAACTGTCTGTGTGCCATGAAATTGCCGGATAGCGGCAACTTAACAACGAACAGCGCAGGGACCACAAAACATGCTGAAGAATATTGACTGGATTAGAATGGCGCTCGAGGATGGGTGCGAATTTCAATGGGTCGAGAATGAGAAGAGAATCAGTAAGAAACGGGCTGATTATTCAATGCCTACACTTGGAGGCTTGAAGTTGATCGACACCTGAAGATGCTTTCACTAAAAAACCGGCTACTCGTAAGTGAGCTAGTTGGCGCGTAAAAAGGATGAAGTAAGAAGAGAAGGAGAACGAGGAGAAAGAGGCGAAAATGGGATGTTGTCAGAGAGCTGAAAGTCAGCGACCAGAAGGCGGATTGAGGCGCAATGCTAATGGCGGCGGAAAGAATGGCTTGAGGGCGATGGCGGGCGGAGGTCGCGGAGGCGAAAAAGAAGACCTGCAGAACCCTGTGGTGGAGGTACTGGAACTGCCGTGCTAGGCGCAGTGGATATGAGAACCGGGAACGGAGGTGAATATTTGTGGTAGCGGATCAAGAAAGTAAGAGACGTGGTGTTGATGTAGTAGATAGATAGATAGATAGGTGAAGTAGAATGGCAGAGGATGGTGGTTGCAGACCCCGGCCTTACTTGTCCCTACAAGGCTCGGGGAAAGGAAATGGGCTGTATTTGCAAGGACTAATTCCCTGTTTTTCGTTTGTCTCACAGTCGGAGGGTCTCGATTTGAGTCTCAACTTCGGAGGCGCCCAGGAGACTGGCAGGATTCAAGGCTGGAAGGGGGGAGATGAAGAGAATAGTGGTTGATACGCCCAGGCAGAGGAAGTTGAAGAGAGGAGAATGGAGGGAAGAAGGCAAGAAACGCAGATAATATTAAGGTCGTCTGCGATGATGATACAACATTGGTATTTGAACATCCGTTTCAAACTGGAGTTTGGTCCGGGTGGGCACCTTTGAAGTTGGGCTGGCCAACGGGAGCAGCGTGCCTTTTCCTTCAATGTCACGGCGGTAATGCACGCAGCACCAGCGGCAAATGAAATTTGCAAGGCCAGAAATTCGAAGGGGGGCATGTATGGAGTATAATACCCTTCTAGTAATCTGCCTACCGGGCTGAATGGAGCAGAGAAGCTCCAGTGAAGGAGACAAAACAGCAGAGCCAGGAATAATAACTAAACATTTATATTTATGATTGAAGCATTGATCGCAACTACTCTTAAGGCCACATTGTTCCTCCACTTGTCAGCACTTCCTTTTCCCCATCCCCTTTTCCCTCGTTTTTATTATTTCTCCTTCCCCCCAAAAACCCCCTCCTTTTGCCCTTGCCTTGTTTGACCATCAACTGCGAAAACTACTTGCCGCTCGTCAGATTACATGTGGTGGTTATTGCAGTACGGCAAACCGTAAAATTACCCGATACATACATGACAAGGCCCTTTCTCCCAAAAGTCAAAGCAGCCTGGAAGGAATCATAACATCCAGAAAGAATCTAATCAGACAACAAACCACACAACCAGCCGTTCAAGGCAACTGGGAACTGTCTTTCTCCTTACCGTGAATTTGACATTCTTTTGATATTCCTTCAATGGGGCCTTGTCCAGTCACTTAACCTAATTTTCTGGGCTCGAGAACCGCGCCGTTGCCACAGCCCACGCGGGATAGTAGAAAATCGTCGACCAGTTTGTATGGATCAGCCAGGATATTAATTAATCGGAGGGGCTTTAAAGGTAAGCAATCGTAATCGCATGGATCATTTAATATCAGCTTCAAGGGCTTCATCTATCAGATCTTTTAGTGAGGTGCAAGCGGTATGACACGGCCAAACTCATGCTCACTCACTGGAGCTTCCGTAAGCCTTCTACGCCGTCCCTAAACGATAGTATAACCTACCTTCCCGTTTGGGATTTCCCTACGAAAGTTTAATCCGCCTTATGTCTTCAGACCATGCTTATGCGTGTCCCGTATCGACCTCTCCACCTTGCATACTGCCATGCAGGCGGAATTCCGTAAGGCAAGTGCCTCAGGAGGAAAATAATTCGCCCGCCTAAAAGTAGAGGAGGGGGTGGTATTATGTGTGTGGATTTTTGGGGTGATACCCCATAGTCCTCGATATCCATCGTCACCCGGGTTAATTAAAGGTGAAGCTGGTCAGTCCTCAAAGTGATGAGAGTACAGTACTACTGACGGCAGAAGAGGGGACACGCATTGGATATCACAGAACTAGGAGTCCCCACGTGTCTGGTTTTCTTTCTTATAACTCCCTTCCCCCTCTCTCTTGTCCCCATCCGCAAGGCGGCAAATAATAAACACAGGATCGTTATGACTGAAACCCGAGCAGGCATCTATGTACCACAAAAGGTATCTTGTTCAACCTGGAGCTACAGAAACATGAATTAGGAAGCTTGGATCCAACTGACCGAACCGAGTCAGGGAACTGCAGGTGGAAAGCGGCCAGGACTTATTCCAGATGCAGAGCGGTGAAGCCGCGGGCTAACCGGATTGGTTCTGACAGTGCAAGGACGACTGGAGACGGTTAGATTGGAATGAGGCAGTGCTAGTAGTTCAGCTTTTAGTGCCATGTTGATTCTTCGGCACACTGCTCAACTTGTGTCCCACTGGATGCCAGCCATTACCTCTGACAACGTCCCATAGGCCCGTCTTGCTTCCCCTTCTCCAGTCAGTGCTCCATCACTATTACTTACACCATTGGGTTATGGTGGTAATGGTGGGAAAGCAAAAAGGGAAAAACAAGGTTTTTGCCGCCATCAGATAATGAGGGCGTGAAGTTTCCAGGACAAAATAATCAATCAAAAGTGGCAGACTGAATACGTTAGAGGGGCCCGTTCTCCACGGTGGTAACTCCTAGGCGAATGCTCCCCATGTAATTGTAAGCAATATTCTCATTTTCAGTCCAAGGCGACCAAGTTCTTGTCAGGTACCTCTCATCGGCTTAGCGCTCATCCAGACGTTCCGGTGATACATGCCCCCAGCTACAAGATACTGCGTCGAGCGACTGCGGGTCATACTAGATACATACAGTGGTACACTCTTCATTCTGAAGAAATGAACGTTTCGAATTTGATAGGGGAGACTTAAATACGGAAAACACCGGGGCTGGCTAGCCCAATCTCAAGTATATTATCACAATCATTATTATGTCTGCTTGTTTCTTACTAAAACCTTTCTAAGGTGTACCTTCAGCCCGGTACACAGTTACCTAGAAGTTGCCAAAAGAGTGGTATGCAGCAAGTGTGGTTGCTTTGCTTTGCCCATTATTTTCTCCGTCGCCTTACCCGCGTGCGTCCATTTTTCGACAAATACAGGGACAGCATCAATTTTTAGGTTTTACGAAAATTACCGCCACCTTTTCTTTTTTTCCTTTTCATCATCGTCATCCTCCTCCTTCATCGTCATGTCATCACCATCATCATCACACAACTCCTTCCCCAATTCAGGGATAATTCCAGAAAAGAGGACCATACAACCATCCAGGGTAGGCAATAACTTACCAGCGGCAGGGGCCCTAAAGCCGACCAGGCCGGAGTAGGGTACCGAGTGCATCCTAAGCCCAAGTACTTTTCCAACCGACTCCAACTTTCCATGGCGCCCCACTGTGAGTTGTTGCGGAAGACCGTCACAATGATTATTAGTGGCCCTGTTGGGCTTGACCCACTGCCAATCATGGTCTAGCGGGATCCACTTTTGGCCTTAGATACATGCACTGCCACATTGCTGTCATTTGGCATTTCCCCCCGTCGCACCTTGCGATCCGAGGAACTCCCTGGAAACCACCGGATAGCTGGCATAAGGGGATGTTGTGTAGGGAAAAGAAGGGGGGAAAGGCGGGCCATGATTTCTAGGTAATTAAATCTTTTATTTTTCATTTTCAAAGGGCTGAAAATTAAGCGAGCAGTGCTGGCTCGTGAAATTCAACATCAGAGGGGTGGGTGACCATCGATAGTTGATAAGTAGATAACGCTCTACGGTGAAGAATAGCAACAATCAAAAGGCACAACGCCAAATAGTGTTAGACAAGGGAATAGAAAAAGAAAGATAAAATAAAATACACCCTTCGGACTGGGCAAAAGAGAGACACGAAAATTCTGAACATAACTCGCGGAGTAAGCCAAATTTTGATTTAATTGATCTTGTTTCCTGCTTCCCTGTGGATCATCAGTTGATTGTCCCTTCCCCCTCTCGTCCAGTTTTCCCTGCTCGCTCTGTTTCTCTCTGTCTCTCTCTCTCAAACTGCCAGCCAGCCGGCAAGCAAAGTCGGCCCTCGTCTCGTGTCCAGTGCCATACCAAGTAAAGTAAGTAACCTATAATCCGGACTTAACGGATCGGATGTAACAAGCAAACTTCTATCCGTCCTCCGTCTGAGGTACCAGAAAAAGGGATCAGGAGTAAACTGTAAAAAATAATAAAATAATAGTGACAATTATAAAATCAAAAAAAAATATTGGGAGGGGCAAGACGGACCTACGTACACAGTACAAGGCAAACTTTTTTGCAAACCCCAAGTACGTAGTCTAGTCCATCGGACTCTAGCTATAGTTTCACGGAATGCAAGTATCTAATTCGTAAACAATTCAACTAAACTAACAAGTAACGAACCCCATTTTTGCCACAATCAGCCTGAATTCCTGCCTGGACCATATATTTCACGAATCTATTGTGTAAAGTGCAATCAATCAATGCGCACCACACACACGGCATCGTCTGCGGTATTAATGACTATCCACCACTCAATCTCTACGGCCAAGAAATGGGGCTGGGGAGGGGACTCAATAAAACTTCTTTTTCCTCTATAATTCTAGTAGCGAACTAGCTATAGATACACATATTTTTGGGCGAATCTTACGCGCCCACCGACAAACTCAACCCAACTAAACCCAACCGTCGCACAGACTGAACACGCATTCATGCATCCACAGCTTAGTTAGTCGTTACCCAGGTGGTAGTGGTGGTTATGGTGGTGGCAATTCGGGGAAATACACCGTTTGTGTGGCCCTTCGGGTTTCCTCACAAGCAGTTACTAAATATCCATCTACTACTATCTGGGTAAGTAAGTCCTTCAAGAATTTCAATTATCGGACTTTATTGGCCCGATTCGTGCAGGGCAGCATGGCTATGGACAACTAATATGGCTTGCAAGGCCAATAGGACCCCCGGTCGCCCTTGTGTCCAGTCCGCCTACCTACGCTACGGATCTAACTCCATGGGCACTTAGTGCAGCAGGGGTGGAACATCAGATAACCATGTCTCCTTTAATTAGTTACTATACTACTGTAAGTAAGTAGGTCATTATTGTGCTGGTTGGGATGGTCGCCCCGTGTATTGTCACCCCCATGCTGTAAGGCGCCAGAGACAGAGAGACAGGTACAACCAGTTGAAAAGAGAAAAAAGGATTAAGGCAACCCGCGCAAGCAAGGAAAAGGACACGAAGGAATGAGTAGTAATAATTGTCCGAGGAGAAAGGTCGGGTCAGGCTTAGTATCTCTTGTACAAAAAAGCGCCGTCAGCCTTAAGCCCTAAGGGGCTGCAGACTAAATCTCGTGCACAGGCCGTGTCTTGAATTAGTGGTCGATAGTTGATAGGTATCATGATAGTAAGTAGTTTCCGACCCTGCAAAGCAACGATCACCTACCGCACCTATTTCTGGTCATATCAAATGATTTGGTCTTATTTGGCATGCTTCAGTCATGTCGGGAACCAATTTAATTTGTAAGGCTGCATATGCACTTACTAGACGAAAAGCCAAGTCATCAGACAGTCGACAACCCACCCTGCAATACGGTCACTCTGCGGGCTTCTGAATACGTATGGATGGTCGGTTACACTGCGATAATGAGATAGACCTTGTTTTCTGCAGGTGGGTAGATTGTTGTTTCTAAATGCGGTTCATGCTTGCTTCTTCTTGTCCATGTTTTATGGACTTCTTGATTGGTCACCGAGGACACAATCAAGCATTATCTAGACTACCTAGTAATTACCTTTGCATGCACTGCGGACCAAGAAACCTGGTTGTTTCTTGGCCTGTCACCGATTGACGCTGGCCTGGGTCGTACCTATGCAGTACCATTCTCGGCGACTGAGACTGGTTGGCATCCAATAAATGCCAGTAATAGACTGAGTATTGCTGGATGGGTGAATGGAACACGTATTCGATACGCACTACAGGTAGGACTCTGCTTTGGACAGGCAAATCACGTCTCACCGAATATGATACGGTCAGGCGCTAGGGGATTCACACGCCAAACTATACCTGCGCATAGACCATATAATTGGAGTGCCTCTCTTTTGACCAATTGATATCACTAGCATTTATCTACCTCGGCCGGACTATAGTGTGATTTCCATTCCAGACCAGCTCTCGGAGCCTTGGCAGCAAACAAGGTCCAAGCGATGAGCTAGATCGACGACCGGAACCGGTGACTTCAAGTTGTTTGAGCAGGCACTAGACTAGTATAGCGAGCACTTGCATCTGAGCCTGCCTGACCGAGGACTATCTAAATAATTACTGGAGATGGTTTGGCCTCCTCGGCTCTAGATGTGACGGATCAAACGATTAGTGATCCGGTCGAGACCGTCTCGATGATTGCAGTAGTAGTACGACAAGGCCTTTCCCTGGTTTCCTATCAAAAATTGCCGCTTCGGTTAACCAGACTGATACGCCAACGGCGTCAGGCCAACATTGCTCCGGGCATATAACACCGTCTTAGCCAGCGCTTCTGTGCCACCAGGGGACCTATGTGAGGATCACGCTGGCAGCGGGAGGGGTCTTCGGGGATTCAGGAGCCGGATGTGCTGGCTAATGGTGAGCCAATTGCATGTCACACATCTTGTAGACTTGCGGGATGGATGAGGGGTAATGGAGCGATTAGAGAAACCAAAAGGGGGCTGTGCAGCGTGTTTCTTACTACTCTGGAAAAAACTACTGCCAATGATCGTATAAAGGAAGAGAGTGATACGCTGGGCCAAGTCCGTGCTTACATGCCAAAGCCGGCCGAAGGAATGACCGTTAGTTATGCGGGGGTTGTGTCACAATGCCTCAGGCTGCCAGAAAACCTGCTGCTGCTATGTTACCCTTGCCCTTGCCCTACACCCTAACTGTCTACTTTCGTGCCGCCATTTGCAGGATTGCTGCCAACCAATCAGACGGCGTGACTATTTCTTGGCACCATACTGAATGGTCAGGTCCGATCTTGGCTATCATTCATGGCCACTCTGCCTCTTATCATCGTCATACTCTTTTGCATCGGCGACCTGATCTAGAGCCATCATTATCCACCTAGGTCGCTGCTTTGATAGATTGTCATCATGGCGATGAATCAGATTCCCGGGCAAAACATCTATGTTGGAGGGTTGGTTACCTTGTCCCCCACTTTCTGTTACCATACTAAGCCTGCCTTTGGCCCGTCATATGATGGGCCAGGGTCTAAGAGGAGGTATAGCGCTTCGCTCTCACAAAGCTTGCTAACGTCGAGTTACATAGCATACTGGCACTCAAGAACAAGGCAGCCTTGACTCGAGCAAACATTACACATGTTGTTTCCGTGTTACGCCTCCAGCCAGCTGATGATGTCTTCGAGTCTTTTCAACACCACTGCATAGAGGTCGACGATGTCGACGATGAGAACTTACTAGAACATTTTCCAGCTGCTGTAAAGTTTATCCAGTCCGGTCTTGATGCCGGCGGAGGTGTACTTGTACATTGGTTAGTTTGTCCTCGGTTCATCTGCTCTTTTCGGACTATATCATACACCGTTTCTCCACATGTTTCCTTGGGATGCCTTCTCCGGGCTCTTTAGCTAGGATCGGTACTCAACCTCCTTTCCCCAAATCTGTGTTTGTATAATGTCGCTGCTGAAGCCGTGCTGTGATATTACCGGTTTACTATCGTTCACCTGACCTTGTGTAGCAAGGATGTTCTATTGTGCTTCTAGCATGACAAGCTGTGCTGACAGTTGATAGTGCGATGGGAAAATCCCGATCAGCCACTGTTTGTATCGCGTATATGCTCAGCCGTCAGCCTAGTGCACTGACACCAGAGTCCGCCCTTGACATCATCAGACAGAACCGACCGCTATGTGAGCCGAATCCTGGGTTCATGGAGCAACTCTCAGTCTACCATCAGATGGGATGTCCAGATGATGTCACTAGCCACCCACTTTACAGCCGGTGGCTTTACCGCCGCGAGGTGGAAGAGAGTGTCGCATGTGGTCGAGCACCTGAGTTGAAGTCCGTGCTGTTTGAGGATGAGCAGCCGCGCCAATCACAGGAGCCCGCGGGTCGTATGACAGAGATCAAATGTCGCAAATGCCGGTTAGTCCCAGTTACGATCATTATTAAAGCTTATCTATGAGCTCCTCCTGACCACATCACCAGGCGCAAATTGGCGACCACGCAATTCATTATCCCCCATACCTCCCAAAAGAGCGCCAGAGCATCCACGGCTGATTGCGCTCATGTGTTTTTACACCCACTGACTTGGATGCGCCCGTCACTCTTTCCTGGAACTGATTCAGAATCTTCCGGCTCGCCTTATGGAGCGCCGCCAGAAGATGCCCCGTTGTCTGGCCGTCTGACCTGTCCCAACTCGTCCTGCGGAGCTAATATTGGCAAATTTGCCTGGCAAGGCATGCAATGTAGCTGCGGCGAGTGGGTTGTCCCTGCGATTGGCCTTGCAAAGGCCAGGGTGGACATTTCCGAGAGGGTCAATATCATCCGCGGACCAGGCAACTTGCCAGCCGCGATGGGCATTCGTCTGCCGCCTGGAATGCGGTCTAACCCCGCGGATGAGAGCAACGGACGCGGAAACCTATAGACTTTGGTAGCGCTACCTAACGTTGACTCCGCCAGGGGTAGATCACGGCGCAGCAAGGCTCCGTCGGAAGTCTAAGCATGCTCGCTCGTTGATAGGCTCCCCTTAGCCATGCCTTTAAATGACGAACCAGCGGGTCATAAAGCCAAATTACGTCACGTGGCATTAGAAGCGGCGCCATCTGATTCAAAAGTTTAGGAAGCAATAGTTGAACTGAAAACAGAGATGGTCCGTGAATAGGCGGGCCACGCACGCAAGTGTGGCGTTCAGAGCTTCTGCTATGGTATGGTATGCGGAGGCTGGCGGAACAGCCCGAATGCGTACACTATTGAAGGCACGAAAGGAAGGACACAACGCAGTCATGCACAATATAGACTCGGGTCTAGACTAGATTTGGGTATGGTCTGCGCTCGACAGGTTTCAGACCCTGATGCCGATCATCCCGCGGCAAGTTGGACCAGAGCAAGGTCGAGATAGACATACAGTTTTACTACTACCGGACCAGCAAGCAGAACCCAGCCAATAAGAGCAAATGCACACCACTAGCTTCAGCTATCTCAACCCAAGCCTCGGCGGCTACAGCCAGATGATCTTATCAAATCAGTTAGCCGAAGAGACTGATTGGATTCAGCTCGTGTCCCGGGGGGGGGAAGAAGAAGGGAGGGGAATTGTAGACTCTAAGCGCTAGGACCTGTCAGGATCCAGGGCATAACCCCACCGACCCCACGAGGCTGTTTTAAGGCAGCCCCACGGGCCCCAGCGATGCAGCATCCAATCAGGCGGTGACGTAAGACCCGGGATCTGCGAAGCCAGAAGGGCAGATCGGGGAGAAAAAGAGTTCTCGGGGCCTGGCACAAGTTCCTGGGCCCGATGACTAATGCACCCGGCGCGACAACTGTAACTGCCAAGCACCGCTGCTGCTTTTGCTCAAGTCCGGCTGGGTCTCATTGACTGGGGAGGGGGGGCAGACTAGCGAAGGTCTAGGCTGCTTCACTAGCGCCGGCTCGGGGGCTGTGCAAACTGCTCTTACGCAACTGGGGCGCGCTAGCCATGGATGAGCTGATCCTCGGCTGGTACATACCGTATTCTAAGATTACTTCTTTATTACTTCTTTCCGGTATTATTTGCAGTGAGAAGAGTATACTACGTATTTTTCATTCCTCTGTATTAATGCCTTGTATTGATTGTATACACACTATGGATGGAGTTATTATACCTACCTAAGTGGCAAGCCGGCATATTCATCATTCATCATCCATCAGTAAGTAACTTGCTTTACCTGCCTAGATAGGTAGGGTATGTAGCTACCTAGCCGGATAATCATTCTTTCCCCCTCATACCACGAGATCCTTGCTCTCAGATACTCCTCAAACAACCTAACCACAAACCCCCCTAAACAGTATACCACTACTATACCTCCTACCCTAATAAAACAACCTTGTACTTTGTCCAGTATGCTCTCACAACTACTAATACCCAAAGTATCCTAGTCTCCGCCTTACATGACGTCAACCTCATCTCAGGCCTCATCTTCACTTAGCTAGCATAACTAACTTACTATCCAATCGATAGATAGTATAAAGACTCAAGTCGTCGTCGTTAAGGCTTGGCATTATTTTGCAATACACAGACTAATTTCCACCAACCCAACATAAACAACACATAAATTAGAAATAAATAACATTAGCAATAACGATAGGGATAGGGATAGATCCAACCCGCCCTACAGGGCCAGCCTAACTATCCATTTAGTAGTAACTACGGGCTGAAAAATGGGGTTCGGTTCCATGGACAACAACCTGCTATTTAGTTTCAGGAAAAGCTAACCGAGCCCAACCCAACCCCCTTACTATGTTCTATAAAGAGAGTGGGTGGGATTGTATAGCTGAGTGCATTAAGGCTTGGGACACGGACATGGAGAGAAAGAGAGAGGGAGAGAGGGAGGGGCTAAGAATTAGTCCTGGAATGATTGGATGTGGTGGTAGGCATACTAAGTTGCACTGCCTCGTTTGGGGATCCACTGCTTTGCATGAGGGGGTTTTTTGCTAACTCGTCTTCTTTTAGGAGGGGTGTTAGTATCTTGTGTTGTTATGTGAGTTATCTATCTGCCTAATATGTGTATTTACGGGATAGAGTTGTTGATGGATGGTTGGTTGGATGGATACATTGTCTGTTTTGTTTCTATCTACGTTGTAAGTTGAGATGGAGGAATCTACTACCACTGCATGCATCAACATCGATGCTTAATTTATCGCTTATGGAGCATAGTGCATGTGACGGTTTCTGGGCATGGTCCGCGCGCAATTCCTCTTTCTCTGGTTCTGTTTGGGCGTGCTTATTTTTGGGTTAGTTGTAGCCCGGGTATGGTTGTTCTTCGATACGAGCAGTTCGCTTTTCTGATTGAGACACAACACGGTCATATGGTTGTTGTCTTCTGAGTACTACGAATTCCGATCGGGTTGCCACATTAGGCTGCAAACCCCTGTTTGTAGCCTTGTAGGTTTTGCATTGCGTAAGGCTGTCAGACGCTTTGCGGTCGTTCTCCGTTAGGCGGGCAGTTCGCTTCTAGAAGCTATTGTACTTCCGGAATCCGTTAAGGCTGTGCAAAGTGTGTTTCTTGAGGCTTCCGTGTCTTGCCGGAACTGTGAGACAGCATTGCTTCCGGTGAGCCGTCTAGTTGATGGCTATTCTCTAGTGGGCCAGGGCGGATATGAGTTTCTGAGTGACGGATACGTCGGTAGAGAGCTGAGCGATCGTCGCTTGAGCTGTGTAGTAGCAGCGGTGTAGTGACTAGGCAGAGCACTGAAGCAAGAGTAGCAGTTGTATCGACAGTCTCTGTATTGACATAATGACTTGGTCGTGACATGTGGCGTTCGCATTGCAAAGCGCGGTAACAGTGTCTCACGCACGAGCTGATGTACTCGCGTCGCGAATCCGTATCCGGCACACCCAACTGTAGATGTCTGAGACTGAGCTCTCATTCAGTCAGACAATCATCAGGTGATCAGATCCCAACAAGCCCGATACAGTCACGGTAAGCAACGAAGGATCCAGCCACAGGCATGGACATACCAGGCGACCCATAATGTGAACTGTAGGCAGTAGGCACCCATCAATATCGTCAGCATTCCGACATCCAGCCCACAAGCACATCATCATCTTGAGGCTCCAAGTCCAAGCTCACAATCCTCCTGTCGGCACAGACGGGAACAGAGAAGGATCCTGCAGGCGTTGACGATTCCTTCTAGCCATTTCAGCATTGCGCATCCTGTCAATGCGCATCTGATAGAAATTCCTACAAGAGTTAGCAATCATCACATAGAAACCCATACAAGAGCAGAGAGTAATACTTATGCAACGCAAAAACCCTCGGCGAGTCATCCGACGAAGTGGTCGATTTCTTGATACTCTCGATCTATCAGATGTCAGCGATTACATCTAAAGTTTAACGAAAACAAACGAGAGAGGAACCAAAGATAGGAAATGTAAATAGAAGAACAAACCTTATCATCCCGTTCCTTCTGCATCTTTTTATCCTCCTCATCACCCTTTTTCGTAGCCGACTTATCATCCTTTTCTTTATCCTTATTATCATCATTCTTCTTCTCCTTCTCTTTCTCAGCATCCTTATTCTTCTTCCGCTGCTGCTTCTCCTCATACTCCTTCTTCACCTTCTCAATCTCCCTCGCCATGGCCTCGTCTTTCGCCTTAGCGGCCACAGCTTCTGTATCGACAATAGGAGAACAGAAGTGACGGTCTTGAAGGTGAGAGGGGCAGACGTAGAAGTAGTCCTGAAATCGATCATCAGTCATGACCCAAACATGAATTCCATTCAGAGGTTAAGTATAGAGATGATAAAGAGGGACACGTATCTATGATAGGCAAACGAGAGAGGGAAAGGAAAGGGGATATTCATACCCGATTATCAGGCGTGATTAATACACTACTCGATGGCTTATAGCAAATGTAACATGCTTTGGCGGCTGTATCTGCTACTCGGCGCAGATGCCAGATGTTTTGGATGGACATTGACATGGTGTCTATTCTATGTATAGATTCGGGGCTAGAGGGGTTATGTTGAAGCTTTGTTGAGAAAAGTGTGGGAGGAATTGTTTGATAAGATTAAGTGTGGTGTTTAGTTTGGTTAGGCGGGGAATTGGTCGATGATGTCATGTGACAGGGGTATTGGCTGCATGTATATATGGATATTGATACAATGTGAATCATACTACTGTCTAGCTATGCTGTAACTATTGGACTTTCTTAAATACATTCATTATCAGATGGTACTTTGTATTGGTAGAATAGTACGTGAAGGTTCACGACAGTCATGTAGTAATGATGGTGTGAATGTGTTGACATGAACTTAATATATCCCGATATGATACAGAGAGACCCAAGGGAACCAAAACACAAAGTCTATCCAACAATTCCATCTACTCAGTGACACTATCCTTCAATCCTCTCAACGCACTGGGCTCCTTCGACCCATGCAACATGGCCGCCGCATTTTCCGACCGTCTCCTAGCATCCGTCCAGATCATGAACTCATTATAACTCTTGGGCATGACCTGCACATCCTTCTCCACGAGGAACGTATAATTAAACATTCCTGTGGGCTTCTTCGTCCCATGCTCCACATCTCTCACCTTCGTGTCCACCCGCACCCGCACCTTCGTGTACTTGCTCTCCACGCCCTCGCGCTCCAGCGGTTCCGTGTACGCCACCGTCGCGCGCAGATACAGCACGCTGCCCACGGGCACGGAGTTCTCGAATGTGCTAGGATCCAGGGAGATGAAGTTGGGGCGAGCGTGCGCGAAAGACGCGGCGCAGCAGAAGGCGAGCTCGAAGGTCTGTTTGAGAAGGAAGCCACCGAAGATCATGAAGTTGTGACGGTTGCGGTCTTGAGGTTGCATGATCATGGCGGATTTTAGAACGGTGTCGCTCATGAAGACGTTGTTGGAGGGTCGTTGGGCGGGTGATTCGGGGTCTGTCGTTCGGTTATTGCTGAACTATATTTTGTATTGGTGGAGAGGACACTTACTGAGATAGGACATCTCCTTGGTCCACATGGAGTGAATGAGATTACTCTCTTCCGCATCGGGGGCTTTCTCGAGGAGACTCTTGGATCGTAGTGCCTTCTTGGCTTGGTAGTTCTCTTCGCCCTGCTTGAACAGGAGGCGCTCCTCGGCCGTTTCGACGACTAGAGGGGCGATGTTGACTGGCCTGGATTGCCAAGATCAGTATTCAGACGTAAAAATAGAGTGGCATGGAACTAACTTCTTCGTCGCAGGATCCAGCGACACCATTGTGAACGCACAGGTGATGAGCACATCCTCCGGCTCAACCTGCTTTCCCGGAGCAGGAGCCTTGGCCACCTGAAGGGAAACCTCCATACTCGAGCGACCTGTCGCATACGTGACCTGGCCACTAAGTTCGAGATCGCAAATCTCCATCAGCGGATGCTCAATGGTGATGCGGTCCACGGCCGCCGTGACCGTAGTGACCGAGTCACCAGTATGTCTGTAGGCGATGACACCTGCCAGCGCATCGAGGTCCATAAGCAGGGACCCCAATCTGTAACTGTCAGTAATCCTCATCCCCAAGGATCGATATCAGAGACACGCACCTAATATGTCCCGAAGCATTAAGATACGTATCAAGCAGCCACTTATCCTGAGCCAGAGGCAGAACCTAAAAGAAAGACACGTCCATCAGCAAAAGCCCCCCCTCCAAGTCAGTAAATGCACCTACGGCGCTGTAATAACTATCCGACATCTTCTTCGGCGTCAGGTCAGGTTTCGCCGAGGGAGCAGCAGCCCCCTGACCAGACTTGGCAGTCTCGCGACTTTTCGTGAGCGCATCGATCCAAGGCGTCTTAACTCTCATAGGCATCCACGTAGGTCGAAATGCGGCATTGTGTTGACTGGGGTGAAAGTCCCGGACTGAGAGCAACGACCGGTGCGCAGGTGAGCGAACACTGCTACATAAGCTGGTCGGGGCATTGGAAAGACATTTGGAGCGCGTCGCAGCGGACCGTCTTGTACTTAAGCCAAACATGGTGGTTCAATTCCAAAATATAATAAGTGTCTGGAATATGATGTACAGGAGCAGAAGTGAAAGATGAAAATGGATATGGATTAAGATGATGTGTTGAACACGAAGATGACTTTCGGCTTCGGTAGTTGAAGCGGATCTCCCGACGGCTGTTCCGGCTCCGGCTTTGGATGCCGGAGCAAGTCGGTAACGCGACAAAGTATATTTCCCTAGGCTGACATGTCGGGTTCGGTATGAGCCAGGTGAGTCATTGACATTGTATTTACATGCTTAGCATATTAACTGGAGGTAGATGAGTATTCTGTTCAAGAATGGGATCGGATGCTGAAGTTGAAGTAGAATTGAATCGCGAAGATCCCGGGCTGCTGTGCAATGACATCATCGCCGCTGCTCTCCTCCGATATCGACCATCTCATGCACTAAAAGGGGGCATTAACAGGAGGAATTAAGGGCCCCTGAAGGAGGAGCTACTCTGTACCTGAGAGAGTGTCCAGGGAGGGCCTGCGAGTCAGGCAGAAGCTGATCTTCAGGCCAGCTTGCTCTGTGGCCTCAGGAACCAACTCGTCTCTCGCCCGAGAGCTGCGTCAAGGTGAAGTCATCCCCAGTATAAATTCAACTTATTTTGTACAGTTGTTGTGGTTTTCTTTTTGCATAGTATCCATTGTAGATTATCTTTCGTCTATTTCTGCAATTCGTCTATATCAGATAGACTCTCTTCCATTTAGATAATCTCTGTCTCCCATTGTCTTCATACAATTGCAAGAAACATATTGTTACTATACCTCAACCATGAGTGACCCAACCAATCCCAACATCGAGAAGCGAACAACTCCCCAATGGGCTCTCTATCAGCGTGAGAACTTCTGGAAAGTAAACGACGGCCAAACCGTCCCGTTCAACACAGGTACGCATCCCATCCACACCCCCAGTCCATCTCAACCAGCTCGCTGACAAGGCATCCTGGGCAACAGACCCCAGAAAGCTCGAAGAGGAGGCACACAAGAAATTAAGTCAAGGGGGCTGGTATGCATGTTCCATCCCCCGTAGATGCCCCATTAACCCATCCCTAGGTTCTATGCATCCTCCAACGCCGGCATGTCCAACACCCACCTCGCCAACCGGCAAGCCTTCTTCCGTCATCGGATCATCCCCAACCAACTAGTGGACACCAACCTCCGTGATACCACCACCGAGATCTTCGGCCACAAAGTGTCCGCCCCAATTGGCTTCGCGCCCATCGGGATCAACAAGATCTACCACCCTTCTGCCGAGCTCGCAGTAGCCAAGGTCGCCGGCGAGCTCAACCTCCCCTACTGTCTCTCCACAGCAGGAAGCACCCCCATCGAGAAAGTCGGCGAAGCCAACGGCCAAGGGCCCCGTTTCTTCCAACTATACATGCCACATGATGACGAGCTGACCTTGTCCTTGCTCAACCGAGCCTGGAACTCCGGGTTCGATGCGCTGATTCTCACAACCGATACCTGGCAACTGGGCTGGCGACATGACGACGTCGCCAATTCCAATTATGCCTTTTACCGCGGCATCGGGGCGGACCTTGGCTTGACGGATCCCGTGTTCCAGAAACGGTGTCGCGAGGCTGGCATCGACCCGGAGAAGGATGTGGTGGCTGCGTCAGCCAAGTGGATTGACTCTGTCTGGCATGGGCGCGCATGGTCGTGGGAGAAGATCCCCTGGTTGATTGAACAGTGGAAGAAGATCTCTGGGGGTCGGCCGTTTGTTATTAAAGGAATTCAGTCTGTGGCGGATGCGAAGAAGTGCGTTGAGTATGGGGTTGATGGAATTGTGGTGAGCAATCATGCAGGGAGACAAGTGGACGGCGCCATTGCAAGTCTTGATGCGTTGGAGAATATCGCGAATGCGGTTGGTGATCAGATTTACATCATGTTTGATTCTGGTGTTCGTGGAGGCAGTGATGTTGCTAAGGCGCTGGCCTTGGGAGCTCGCTTTGTTTTCGTCGGCCGGCTCTGGATCTGGGGCCTCAGTATCATGGGTGAGGAGGGTGTTCGCCATGTGATGAAGTCGCTGTTGGCCGATTTCGATATCCTGATGGCTGTGGGAGGGTACAATAGCGTCAAGGACTTTGATAAGTCCATACTAGGTAAGGAGATCAGGATGAATCCTCAGGATGGACGCTAACTGTCATGTCAGAATCGTACCCGAAGTCATACACACTGATCCCGGACAAGGTTCTTTGAATGTTCCAGGTAGTGGATGCCATGTTCTATACCAACTTTTTCTTAGACAGGGTTAATTGCGAGCCAGAACTGGTGGAGTAAGAATAAATGTTGATTGATTAGAGAAGGACTTCGAATGTAAGGTAATATGACCCGCACGCCGTCCAGGCTCGAAGAATATATGCAAATACAAATCAGCAGCATGTGTAAATAATGCATATGTTTCCCGAGGTTCAGGCGTCGAGTAAGATGCGGTTAACTAGAGCCAAAGCATGAAGGAAGCAATCGCCAGAGCAGAGAAGAAATACTGAGGAGCGGGAATGGTCATGCTACTTCCTGATTCAGCATCAGATGAACTACTAGAGCTAGCAGAGCTCGTCGTAGTCGTTGAGCTGCCCGTTGTAGTGGATCCCGAGGTGCTGCTTGTTCCAGAGCTCGTAGAGTTCGACGCAGAGGTGGTGTTCGAGGAACGCTCTGCAAATCCGACCCGTAACTCATCGTAGTCAAACACAGCATACACATTTTTGAGAAACGTGTCACCCAGGAGCCAGATGTCATCACCAAATAAGTCGTAGCTGATAATGTTCGAAACGCATCCAGAACCTGAAGTTGCTCCCACGTAGTCCTTCGGCGAGATGGTGTAATTCACACCAGAGAATGCCACTTGTAGCTTAGTAGTTGTGTTGCACGGAATAATGTGGTAGCTCCCCGAAGATTTGGCGCCGGGAATGAGACTGTGCAGCGTCTTCGAGTCGCTTGAAGGCAGCATAGCATAAGAAGTTCCGGTATCGATGATGGCTGATTTGTTGGAGAAATCGCATGAAGTGCCGCCAACATAGACATCGTCCACGGGAATGCGCCAATAGCTGTCCGATCCGACGGTATCGGTGTAGGTGATATCGCCGGTGTACTTGTCCTTGTCAGTAGTGCCAAAGCTGACCGTGCCATCCTTGGCGGGGCTACGTGAAAGGGCGAAGCCAACGATATTCGACTTGAAAACGTTACTTTCTGCAACGGCATCCATGAATGTTGGGTTGTCGTAGGAACTATCGTTGGTTCGACCGAGACCGAGAATGCCGTCCATTGGGTACGACTCGAAGTTATCCGATGCGTTGGAAGCAAGTCCGAAAGTCATGCGTACAGTGACATTTGCAATCGTGAGCTTGTCTTTTCCTAGCAAGCCGCTGACAGACCCAGTTCCATAGCCCACACTCCACTCTTCCGATGTCATTTCAAGGGTCGAAGAATCGTCCGAACCGAAGGTATTGTGCATCGTGCAGGGTGTGGACGTGCAGTTGGAACCGAAAACCCAGGTATCAGAGCCGCCTGTGTCGAGCAACATGTACATAGATTTCTCATCAGACCCAATGTTGACGACAGAGATGTATGAAATGTCGCTACCATCTTGATCGAGAGCGGCGGTGTTAGACCAAGAGGGAGTTTCCGCTACCACAATCTTGAAATCATTGTCACGACGAACGGGAATCCTTTTGATGTTCAGTGACAGGGACTCATCGCTGGCAGATGAGGTGGAATCGTCTGCTAGAGCATCGCTTGGTTTTGGTACTGGCAGGAAACGACGAGCTAATGAATCACGGGCTGAGATGTCGTCCGACGTATCGAGTTTGATGGTGTATGGGATGAAAGCCGTGGCACTGGCGCAAAGACACGCTGCTGTAACGAGACGCTGTGGGAGATGCATAACTTGGAAGAATCAATAACAGGTGCAAGCAATGAATTTATCGCAATTGTCTGATGCAGACGATGAGATGCCGGACTCTCCTATCTCAGCCAGATCAGGTGATACAAATGTGTAGTGATAGAGTAGAATTTGGTTTTAGGCAGATTGAGAATAATATTTCATAGCCGGAGTCAATGACAGAATGACACAATCAAGACAATGCTCTAGAAAGATCAAACGATAGATTGCTAGTGGAAAGGCACAAACAAGTGAAGATAAAAGAGACGAGCAAAAGATAAAGTGCTGATAACGAATGCTGAACACAGAGAGTGAATAGGAAGAAACGAGGTGAAGAAAAGAAAGTATAAGAAAAATGTGATTTGTAAATGTCGACACAAAGAAGAAGAGCAAGGGAATGGAAATGAACACGGAAAAGAAAGAAAGGAAAAAGAAAATAGCACCCAAGTGCTTTTCATGCAGTTAAGAATTAAGATGCAGCCTCCAACAGGAGAATTCACACTCAGGCACAGAATGATTATGCTTACATCGTGGGGAGACCCAAAGCCTAAACGGCCCACTCGGCAGGTTTTCGCGGCGCAACGGACGCCTGCGACTGGCTGCTGCCAATGATCCAGGCCTCGATCTACAGGCCTTTTTTGGCGGCGGTGGAGCCCAGGCACGACCGGTCATGTTTTTCCCCTGAGCACAAATGAGAGCGTACAGGCAGAAATGAGTCCGTGAGACATCAATTTTCCATTCTTAGTATCACACCCTCCTACTATAGGTTTTTAGCAGTGATAGATTAGATATCCGGTACCCTTGGCGGAGAAAACAGTACATATATATAGTACAGCCTACCTACTTACGAGTTCATAATCATAATTGCATTCAAGCCACATCCGGGAAGATAGTAATTTCGTCGGCTAATTTTGAAGAAAGGCCCTCCCTAATATCCAAATGACAACGACCAGGCCCGTTCATCTCGCATCTTACCTAAGAGGGGCTGGCTACTTATGTGTGTGTCCAGAACATGCATCAACCCTCGCGATGACGACTCCTGCGCCACTGAGGGGATTCGTAGTCGACGTACTCTCCATCATCAGCCCCCCTCCAACTGTAGCTTGGCATTTTAGTGGATCCGTAAGGCGTCGCATTGCAGCTGCAATAAGCCAACGACCGCCGAAATTGACCCAGTGGTCAGTTGGCTGGGAGCGAACAACCAAAACTGACGAGTCATCTGAAAACACCCATTGGTAGATTGGTAGCAAGTCTTCTCACTCTTTCAGGCTTCCAAGTTGCGAGATGACGATGACCGATAAAGCTTGGTATTCCCAGGCATCCATTGCTTCTCCCAGCGGGACCTTTTTGAGGGAAAATATCACGGAGGAGTTCGTGGGCTGATAGATCTGAGACACTACCGTCATCGAACGACTATATGAAGAATGCTGTTGCATAATGCCGGAGTTCTGCAATGCCGGGGTTCCGTGCTCGCTGTTCGTTCAAGTTGACAGCCACAACACCACCCATGATTTCCATCACCGCGAAGGTCGGTAGGCGATCAACCCCGCAAATGCGATCCAAGGAATGAGAGACAATCTCATATTCAATATCCGCTCGCGTTCCCAGTGAGTACAGAGAATGGCAAGAAGAAGAAAAGATGGAAAAAAAGGCGGGGGTGTTCGATGAAAAACAAAGAGGTTCCCAATTTCCAGCGAGGCTAAACATGAAACAACTCAGCATAGCCGAGGCAGCCACAGTGGCCGGGCTAGGCCAGTCTAAGCTCTGTCAATTACAGCAGCGAAATTACGCACCCATAAGAGGGCTTAACAATCAAATCTTGTGCTGGAGAACTATTCCCGAAATAAACATAATGAATATTAATGTCCCTTGCATTATGCACACTATAAGCTACCAGTCTGGAACCAACAGCAGCGGCTTTGCCCGAATCTAAAACCGTCCCCGGACATCTTCTCCCCTGACACACCCGCCGCACCCGAAAGTCAGGAACAATAACCACCCAGACTTGCATCCGCAGAAAGGATCAAAAAGTGCAGTGGGAGCCTCGTTACTTCAATATGCGGTATTTGTTACATTCTGTCACGGTGTAAGACACCAGTGACCTCACAACAGGCCTTGACAAATTCACATGGACCGATCCCCAACGGTTGGAGGTCGGAACATATCGGGGGACAATCCATCAGCCCACGACGGTTTACTGATTGACTTTACCCATTTCCGGGTCCCCGGGAACGGGTTTTACCTAGGTTAGAGCGGAGTGATGATGATTATGCCCGGCTCCGATCTGATAAGCCCTATTTCCCCGGCGTGCACAAGATGCGCCCTAGCATGCATGATCCGAATCATACCTAGGTTAAACCGCTCAACCGGATGAGCTGATTGATCGTGCTTCACCCGATGGTCCACTTATTGCATCATCCGGGGCATGTGTCGTGATCTCTTACCGGACTATACCAGGATGGTTACATGACGAATAGGTATACTGTAGCGTATATCCTTGGGGAAAACCAGAATGGATTTGATAGATCCTTCTACAGAGGATCATAACTATGTTTCAATCCCGAAAGACATTGACAAAAAGACGGCAATAAGGGCCCTTTGAAAAGTAACCATCACACATCGCTAGAAACGAGACAGAAGACATAATCAAACATGAAGGCAGCATTAGTGTTTCTGAGCTTGCTGCTGTTTGGAACCTAAAAGATCTTCCAAGAAACCACTCCAAAGTTCCCGGACGACTCCTGGTTCGGAGGTACCGTTCTGTTGCCTCTTCAGCTCCTCGCCGAATCTGGACTTCCCAACCGTCTCGGTTAGGGAGAAGGGATCGATGTCCACGGAGTGATTGTCAACAACCTCGGTCATGGGACTTGCGGAGATGTCACCAGCACCCCCGGACACGGTATAAACCTGGGGCCTCATGGGGGCCTCTTGCGACTGGGTCGGGTCATAGTGGGTATAGATGTCGGAAAGGATCGGGATTTGCGGATCGGCACGAGCAGCAGGTGCATCGATCTCTGCCATAGATGGCATGTAAGCGAAGTCAACGGTGGATGAGTCACCGACGGCCTTGCTAGAACGGGAAGTGTTGAATTGGCGGCCATGATTCTTCCTGTGTTGAGCAAGAATGTTAGTTCCGAACTGGCTTTACCCGAGGTAACGGGCTGTCATGATGATCAGATCTACATACTCAGCGCTAGAGCTGCCGTTGATCCTCTTCATAGCGATGCTGAAGGCACGGGACTGAAGGAAGTCATGATTGGAAAGGCGTTCGACAAGCTAAGCGACACAAAATAATGATTAGCCATACAGGTGGTTTGACTAGGAGTGTAGATGTCATAGATAGCATACCTCGGACTGGGAGCCACTAGATCTCAAGGACCGCTTCACACATTCATTCTTCAGATCCGCCAGAGTGCGGCTGGCATACAGAGAAGCCCTGTCCGAGACATTGGCGGGTTGTGCAGACTGGGCCCCGGTGATGTGCAAGCCCCGACGGATGGATGGGGTGGTAGAGTGCTGCTGGGAGAGCACGCGGAGAGCGCGCAACGAACTGGAACGAGGAGCTGCCATTGGAGATGTGATGGGAGGTAGAACGAGGAAGAGTTGAGCTCGTTGATATGTGGTGGTTTGGTTGACGGGGACAATTATAATGGTCTGGGCAAATAGTTGAGCTCAAGAATGTAGAGCTAAGTATTCAATAGGGCGGAGTAAACAATTCAAGCAAGTACTGTAGAGGGAAGTGACCGGCTATGTACAGCAGAGGGGGGGTCAAAGGGAGTTTAGGCACCAGAGATAAAGCAATGGAATGTGAGAGAGAAGAAGGAAGAAAGAAAGAAGCAAGACGGGGAAGCAGGCCGTACTTGAAGGACAGCCGGACAGGCGTTGCTTTGCAGGAACCAGTTGGGGGAGTGATGAGCAAGCGACCTTGCCTTATCCACACGCTCCCTGCTGGGGTGGACACTCACTGGGGCCGGCGGTCTGGCCAAGTCTGCCGGCTGTAAATAGTAGAATGGAACCACTTGGTCCCGACCGAATAGATCGATCGATATGATCCTCCAGGACCCCCAAACAGGTAATTCTGCCCTTCGGACTCTTACTTTGATCGGCTTTTGTCTGGAAAATGATCGTCTGATTATTTGTTTTCCATGAGTTGGCCATCCTCAACACCCCCCTATTATCCGGTTTCATTACGAATCTGATTCAAACAGAAAATCAACTCTTCCAGGGAAAAATAAATGGAAATGATAGTCATTTAGCTCGTGAGGGGTAGAGAGATGTGTCAACCACGGTAACAGGTACGAATGACCCGTCCCCCAACTCTCCCAGATCATGATATCCACCATGTTGTTCAAGGCTGTCTGCAGCCCATACGGAGAGGTTACTTTTACCATCTGGTGCAATACGGATGGGATGGGACTCTCCAATCGCAGCCTGCATAATCACCGGCGCCATCATGCAGACTGGTGGTCGGAGCAGCCAATGAACTGAATTCCACGGACATTTCTATTACTACTCGGTACACCGGAGTCACTGGTCAGTTGCTGATCGAGGGGCATTGGAAACACGCATTGGCCTGGCACAGTCTGGGATATGCCGTTCCTCGAATGGCAGATAGATTAGCTTCCCCTCATTGCAGCAGTAGCATGTCCTTCCCCTCCTCTGCAGCAGCGGTACAACATCCATGGAGATGCGCCGTGAATATATCATCGAGCATTAATTATCTAGCGCGATGCGCGAGAGGGGCAGGAGATGATCCCTTCTTTTCTTGAAGGGTTCTACAGTTTGTCGTGGGCATTGCTTCTTCCATGCCTGCTAGACTGATAGGTAGTCTCCCGCTCGTCACTAGCAATCGGAGCTGGTGAAACTCTGCGACTGTCTCGTATTACATCAACCACTTTTGAGTTTCATCCCCCATCCGGACTTTAGTTGCCCACTTTTAAACCTGAAGATGGTCTTTATCTTTCCTCATCAACAAGATATCCGAAATTCAACACTTGAGTGTGACAGTATTACGACAGGATAAGGGTAGACTGTTTCTCTGTACGTGACTTCCTAAAGCAGTAGTCCGTCCTCCTGCGACGACACCTTCTATCTCCGTCCGTCGCAACCTGCTGGAACTCGGCGGCCGTGACGCAATGAAGAAACAACCAACGGCATTCGAGAAGCTTACTAGCGCCAACGGGATAAAACCAGCCAATACCGTACTTTACTATGCCTCTTACCGAGAGGGATGCGTGTACAGACCCAACAACCGTCCCTCATCCAACCTGCCAGGTAGGCTGATCTTTAATCGGGTGATTCTAAGTGGAAGCGATGATTGGCAGGTTGGATGGGACGATGGATGCTTACTTCACAGAGCTGTAGCATGATGCGACGCTCAAGGCTGGAGATGACTGGCTCGGGGGGTGCCTACTCTCAACTGTTGAGGAGCGGTGAAGTGGAGACGGACGGGATGGGGCACGTGAGGTCGATCTGGCTTGCCCGGCAGCTTCCCCGTGGATCCTTCCCCCGACTAAAATTAAGGTACTCTGATTTACGCCGTAGTCCCCATACCCTACGGAGTCCCCTTTCTCCTCCTCCAGCCCTTCCGCAACAAGGTACTCTGATATACGCCGTAGTCTACATCCTCTACGGGGTTACTATTCCCCCCCATCTCACTTCAGCCCCTGATCCTGCTCGGACTCAACAAATGCAGCGTCATCCATCATGACTTGTTGGTGCTTGCATCGGCAAAAGTAAAATTCAGGGAAGTTGTTTCGGTGACTCCCGTATCCTCCGCAGGATTCCGGTCGTTCCCTCCATCTTCCATTCTATTCTTCTTGTTCGTCTGGATGTCGTACTTCATGCATCATCAACTGATGGTGCCCTTCTATGGCCTTTCCTTTTTTGGGTTCCGGAGAAGCACATTTTAAATCTGGCTAGATACACGTTGATAAGTGCTTATCAGGCCCTGTCTGTTTGCTGATTGCATCGACCAGGCTAAGCCATCTAGTCATCGGAGTTAGAACGTGCAGAACGTGCAGCTACGATAATCAACTCGATATGACCTCTCCACGGCGACTTGGCTGTCGCGTCTAGGAGCTCTAATCTATGGTAGGAATTTCAAGAAACCATGACTCTAGCCCCGCATAAGTCTGTTTTCATATGCATTTGATAACCCCTCCAAGCATGTGAATCGCTTCCATCGTCTTTATTCGAACCCCTAATGCGGTATTTACCTTGCGGATCCTACGTCCCCCTGTCCAGGCATACACATTTTTAGTTACTTACCTACCCTTTTTGTTTAACGGTATATACATCCCTTGCATGCATAGCATAGCGTGGACTCGAGAGGCAAATAGAAGTCCTTTTGGCGTTTCTTTTCACAATAGCTAGAAAAGCACACCATCATCTGGATCCACGCAAGCGTCGTCCGGCTACTTCCACGTATCTCAAGGCCCATTCCATGAGTCGCACTGCCTATCTATGAACTCATGGTTGGACACTGATAAGTGTGGCATTCTGGTCGCTCTGCATTCTATCTCTAGCATGCCCCTCGTAACCCAGGGACTGATGCGACGAGTGCTATCAATGAAGCATGAATCATGTAACTCGTCGACTGTCAATAGCTAGCTTTCCTTGTGGATGCGTCTTGAAGCCCATTCCGAAGAGAAGTGGCCATTTGACGATCTATTCTTAATCAGTTCGGAGAATAATGACTCTACGTGTATGCTCGGGCTGCGAGTAAAGCACCTCTATATGCCACCCACCGGCTTGATATAAACACGGCCGTTAGTACATGGTATAGTGCTGTTTAGCAAATAGCACACTTTATGGTGCCAGTTCATCCACATACTTTCTATCTTCATCTTGGAACGCATCATCGGGGCATCCAATCCTGAAAGTACGATAGAGACTTGCTTAACTTATACAGTTGTATGCCGCCGCCAGGCTACACTGGCAGTCGTAAAATTCATCAACCACATGGCCCAAATAAACTTCACAGACCAAAAGCATGCAACTTCCTACCGACATGGATGCCACGAGTCACAAACATAATCTTCATGGTACAGCGCACCAGCAAGCGCATTCGATGGATCCAGCATCCTAAGTTCACTACTCGTTAAAGCTTGAGCTACTTTGTTCTCTCCTATCTATCTGCCTATCTATCCACCGGGGAACCCAGACCCTTCTCCGACGGCGGGGGCGGCCCTACATAACCGATAAAACTGACTAAATAATACATCCTGACATAATCAATTCAATTCACAATCACAGCCACACAAATTCGATTGATGACTGTGGCTGTTCCCAAGCCTCATTAATCCTCCCCAGAATTTCAGGCACCGCAACCGCAATCCTGTGAGTCAGTCAGGCATTGGTACTTTTACTTAACTAGCTATTTTTGTTCTATCCCTGTCCCACTTCTACTGCCCCTCCTCTCTTGCCGCTGTAAGGCTTTGTGCGTGTGTGCGTGTGCACCTAGGGAAACACTTTTCTCCAGCTAAAAACGCATACTGATGCAACGGGTTACTACTGGCGTAGGGTATCTCGTGAATCAGTTTGGGACCGCTGCTACCATCAATAGTAATAAGTCTATCTGGCTGGGGAGTCGTTGTTATCGTCGTTCTAGTTCACTATTAGGTATGTTACGGAGATCCCAGATTATATAGGTTTTGTGGGGGCGGGGTGTTCCTCTCCTTGCTTTCTAATTTTTTGACTTGTGGAGGGTACTAGCGGGGAAAGAAGGGTTGATGCGGATGGCGACTGACTGACTTATTTGCTTCATGTTAAGATCTAGTGACTTTGGGTTCTAGTACTGGTACTAGTCGGGTGCTGCATCGCCAGCGTGCTTCATATTCTTCTTATTGTTCTGTATTAAGCAAAAGAGGCTTTTCTACTACCCTTCGTTATAGTCAGGGATACCTGGCTGAGGGCTCGATCAAAATGGGTGACTCTGAGCCTGTGACTACTGCTACTGCTACTGCTACTGCTACCACTAGTAAACCTATCAGATATGTTGATGTAGGTGGACAATCACTGTTGCCCTGTGGAACCCTCGCTGTTTGTTGTCCTAAGTAGCTAATGGAGAGACTATAGATTGGAATCAACCTGAGTGATCCCGTTTTCTCGGGTAGCTACCATGGCAAACAGGTTCACGACAATGACCTGGACGACATTGTACAACGTGCAAAGGACATCGGGTGCCAGAAATTCATGGTGACTGGCTCTGACCTAAAGGAGTCTCGGCGGGCGATTCAACTTGCACATGACTACCGTAAGTTGTTATCTCCCCTCAAACAGCAGTGATTTCCGTCTGACTTTATTCTGCAGCTGGATTTTGCTATGCAACTGTTGGTGTCCACCCTTGTCAGGCGAAGATGTTCGATGAATACCCCGGTGGTCCTTCCAAAATGCTAGACGAGCTCAGGACGCTCGCATTGCAGTCGAAGGAGAATGGACAGGCTGTCGCGTTCGGTGAAATCGGCCTGGATTATGATCGCTTGTTCCTGAGTGCGAAAGAACCTCAGCTGAAGTACTTTGAAGCCCAGTTGGATCTTGCTGTGGAAATCCAACTTCCTCTTTTCCTTCATTCTCGTGCTGCTAGTGAGGATTTCGAGAGATTGTTGGGGCCGCGACTTGCCAAGCTTCCTAAGAGAGGACTTGTGCATAGTTTTACAGGGACCCTGGAAGAGATGGAGCGGATGGTTGCTCTTGGACTTGACATCGGCGTGAACGGCTGCAGTCTGAAGACAGAGGAGAACCTCGAAGTGGTGAAGGCCATCCCACTGGAGAGACTTCAGATCGAGACAGACGGCCCTTGGGTATGTCTCACTTTTCTGTCACTAAATGAGTACATTTACTGACTCCGAACTCTAGTGCGAAATTCGTCCTTCCCATGCCTCGTCGAAATACCTCAAGGGTGCGCCGGAATTGCCAAAGGCCGTCAAGAAGGAAAGGTGGCAGAAGGGTCTCATGGTCAAGGGTCGCAATGAGCCTGCCGCGATAGCCCATGTCGCCTACGTCATCGCCCAGATCAAGGGAGTGACCGTTGAAGAGGTCTGCGAAGCGTAAGTATTTCCTCATACCATCGGATATAGCCTGAATATGTCGCTAAATTTGTCTCATTTCTAGTGCTTGGAATAACTCGATCAAAATGTTTGGACTTGGGGAAGATGCATAATGATCCTACATCTAGAAATAGTCTTTTGGTGCTCCGTTACAAAGCTTTCACTAACCTCGCATAGCCCCTCCATGACTTCCGGCTACCCGCTGAAGAATATTCACTGTCTAGGTTTATTATAGATAGATATAATGATGGAAAATTATCCCTTTAATGATGTTATGTTGGTGCCTTTTTGGAGTCGCGCCCGGCCACAGACCCGTTTCCAGACGCTGAGTCAGTCGCCCCCAACCATGGTCCTCACAACGGCTAGACTCTGCTCCTTGTCACTGCTGCTGAACGCAAATTCTATACTGCAATCTCCCACCCCCCTCTGTTTATTCTGTCATGAAGAACGAAAAGCACAACTGTCGTCAGCCTTTCTGGTAGGTGCATCCAGGGAGTTACCAACGTGAGTAGCTATCTGGCTTTGCTCTGCCACTAGACGCTCGCAGGGGTTCCTTCTTGCTTCACTTGAGCTGCACCGGAGGTGCGCAGCACGTGTCTGTTCCTGCTTAAGCATTGTGCTCGCGTGAGGTCTGACGGCAGAAGCTAGCTCTCTTCCTATTGACCTTCATTTACATCAGCTCACCGCCTATACCTGTCCCCAGCACCATACTACTCGCACCTTGTCTCTGGCCCTAGGCTGTGCGTTGGCTGTCGAAGAATCCCTTCAATTTATTTCAGCATCGCAAACAGACGGATTTCCATTATCGTCATTATGTCTCCTTGTCGGATCTTTTCCGTCTGAGGCTTGCGAGTCAGCCTTACTCGTGTCTCACAAGCTTTCTTCTTGCGCATAATCCCTTTCTTCCCAAGGCTGTTTCCGTTTATTGAGCTCGAGGCTGGTTCTTCTTGCTCCTGGTGGTCTTCATAGCACCCCCCCACTACTTCCCCCTCTCTCTTAAATTCGAAGTTGTGAGACCTTTGAGTCTTGCTACTTCTCTACGGAGGTGTTGAGTCATACAGCCGCTGGGTGTCTAGATAATCAGGATCCCAGCATGGCCTGTCCGTTGACCGAGAAAAGTTCGAACAGCTCTCTTAAGAGTATCAATGGTGAGTGATTATTTCGCTACAACAGTGAAACATACCGGGCCTTCCTGATCCCTTTATTATGGTCTATCGCTTGCAATAGCTAACCAACATTCTAGATATAGCTCGTCATAAAGCCTCCTCTGTGGAGTCTGAGTCTGTACAGTCAGAGCTACCTGCTAATTTTGGAGAGGTCGTGAAAGGGATATATCGCTCTTCCTTTCCCTATCCCTGGAATCTTACAGCACTCAAGAAGTTGGGTCTGAAGACCATAATGTACGTGTCTCTGCGGAATTGCACACCCATGACACTTAACTAACAAGGCCTTAGCACACTGGTTGATGAACCGTACCCTCCAAGCCATGTGATGTTCGTCAAGGAGAACGGCATTGCACATCACCGCATTTTGGTTCAGGCAAACAAGGACCCTGCTGTTAAGATACCTGACTCTGTCATGTGTCGAATCCTTGAGCTTCTGCTTGATAAAAGCAACCATCCTATTCTCGTCCATTGCAACAAGGGAAAGGTAAGCACTTGTTCTTATTTATGGTTAACGCGTAACTAATTGCTCTTGTAGCATCGTACTGGATGCGTGGTTGCCTGTTTTCGAAAACTTCAGGCCTGGGATTCATGCGACGTCATCGAAGAATACCTTCGATATGCTTTTCCGAAACCGAGATTACTTGATGAAAACTACATCGACGGATTTGACCCATCCAAACTTCATCAACTTGCTCAGTCTTCCGGTGTCAAGACGTGGCAGCCATCTGGGCTCTTCAAGATGCCATCGGGAGAACAGGATAGAGATAAGGAACTCACTAACTGCCACGTCCCTCCGTCTCTTTAAAGAGATCCATGCGGTTCCATGAGTCACATTATAGATTTAACCAAACCTCCACCCTCCGACTTTCCATTGGTCAAACGACCTCCGTCCTGGCAATCGATCCTCCTAGTGGCGAATTTGTCAGCCATCTGTCCCTTGCTTAGGGACAGTAGGAATAATCACTTCAGGACCCCGCACTACCTCGTTCCTATGAGGACTACTCCCTAACTGTTTCTTTCCTGCACTGAAAAGCATAAAATATTTGTCGACGACTGGATCGTGTTAAAGAAGCTTTAATGCTGTGTCGAAGGATTTTCACTCTTGCTATACTCGCTTATTTTATACCCCCAAATGTCTAAGATAGACTGATGCCTGGTGCTTGTTGCCACTCCGCCATTAGTGTACTATTTACTGCGGGAGTAGATTGGTGATTTACAGTCTTCAACAGGGCGTGCGTGTCAAGGGAAAGACACGGGAAGACAAGAAGCCATATTGTAATGGCTAACATGTATTTTAGACAATCGTCCTACCAAACTTAAAAAGGGGTGATTTTTTGTTAGTGTTAAAAGTACTACTATTAGTAGTATCGTCATAAAGCCCCGCAATGTATAATAATGATATAGTATCTGCTGTATATACTACTAAGTAACATGCATCCTCCAACACACAGATCCTGATAAATATACCGCTCAAAAACTACCGCAGAGCATATCATCGTCATCGTTGTCATCTCCAAATTCTTCAAATTTTGCCATATCATCCGAAAACAGGGTGTGATCCATATCATTTCCACTGAATCGATCGGACATAATATCATCATTTTCATCTTCGCAATCATCTTGAGAAAACGGCAGTGACCCGCATGATGAAGAAGGTGCAGCAGCAGCAGTAGTAGATAACATCGCGCAGCTACTATCCTCATCGGGCTCACTGAACCGAAGAAGTTCCTCTTCTCCATCGGAAGAATATATTAGATCTCTGGAAACTCTTTCTCCGATTTGCGATGGCTGGTCCTTGCATTGAATGTTAGGTGATGGGGTCTGAAAGCGCAGATTTCGGGATGCTTGTGGCTTGTAGAGTTGTTTCTGGGCGATGCGGAAGAGTGCTGTACTTATATTATTCCTAATACTGTTTGTGTCTGTTTCTGTTGTAGAGGGTCGGGGCGTGCTATTATGATTTAGATTGCTTAGTTTGGATTGCAGAGATTGATGGTTGGGGAGTTTGAGTATGGATGAGATTGATTTCGTTATTGAGGGAATTAGATGTGACCGTTGACTCATTTCCTGGTGGAGGGGTGAGTTGGTATTTCCTTCAGTGGTAGTGATGAGCTTACCTTGTGGTAGTTCGGGCTGAAGACTGAAGGTGCAATTTGTGAAAGAGGCTGCAGGGTCTTATTTTGGAGATCGCTATGGTTGGTTGATGAAGTGCGTCCGAATAGAAGCGATTCGAGGCCGACCTTGAAGAGATCGTATAGCTGTTCATGCTGCCCAGCTGGAGAAGCTCTCTCGAAGAATCCTTCTTGAGGGGTGAGAAGCGAGGAGACTTGTTCACTTTCATGCAACTCTTCTAGCTCGTCGACGAAGGATGTGACTTGAGTGTCTTCGGAGCTTTCTTTATATACGCTTTGTTGGGGACCAAAGAATATGGTGTCTTGTGTGTGCTTTAGTATATAGTTCTTGTAGTAATAGTCTCCTACCAAATTCGGTTTTGTCAAAGAGTCTGTATCTAGTATATATAGCTGTGCGCTTTCGGTTTTGGAAGTGAAGGACATGAATGCGTTGACTGTAGACAAATTAACAGTCTGAATGTGGACTGGAGTCTGGACATCGTCGAGGTGATCGAACAAAGCTGTCTTTCGTGCAGATTTCGTCTTCGATGACTGTTTTAGGTCCCTTCTTATCCCGATAATGAGCTCGAAAGAAGTCAAATCGCTGTAGTGGAAGTGATTACAACTTTTGAATAGAGCGACAAGGCCAAGATCTGACCAGAGCTTGATAAGGAAGCCAATTGTTAGCTCCTTTCAAATGGTGAGTTAGCTCATAGGCTGACCCAGAGAATACCTTGGGACTACACAGCATCTCCCCGATCTGCGAACTGAAAGACGAGGCCGAAAGGGCCATCGACGCACCGACACTGATCGAGATGTAGAGTTTGAGTTCGGGGGCATGGGACACCCATAGATCTTGCGATTCAAGCAGCCTCTTGATACAGGTTGCATCCGTTAAGCCGGTGTCTTTGGGGATTAGTACCTGAGCTGAAGCATGCATATTGAGATCGATAATCGAATCAAGAGAACTAAGTCGGTCGTCTCCAAGAACAAGTGTCAAAGCCATCCCGCGGCTTTATAGAATGGGTAGTCAGTATGGACATATTTTCCTGTGAAGCAGGTCCCCGGTTAACTGAGGAAGTGCTTGTAGTAGACGAAAGAGGAAAGGGAGGCGGGATCTATGACTGTGGAGACGCGCGGGATAGACATCGCCGATCTCAATTCCCTGCATTTCTAGCTCTGTTCACCTTCACTATGTGGAGTGTATGGTCTCATGGCCGAAGCATGTTAGCACTACGACAGAATAAAGAGATCAACAAAGACCAGAAATCCCGTAGTAAGCTAGGAACTACTCTCAAACATGAAGACTCAAAGTCTCCACTGACCTTGTGTCACAAGCGCGCGGGATCGGAAGTGCGTGAAGCTTATCGCGAATATACTCCTAGAAGAAAAAAAGGAGTTGTGCATCACCAATACAACTTCAGCGACTTGAGTAACCATTCCACAGACAAATATAAGCACCGTAATTGCCAGCATTGCAGTTGCTTACATGCTAGGTACGATCGCTGCCCGAAGCAGTAACTATTTGGGTGTTATTGACTGATCTATTGACATTTATTTTTAGCCGGCTTATCGATAAGGAGATCACGTGCATGGGGATTGATTACCTGGCCCCTAAGCATCCTCCGCATCAGGGATTCCTAGTTTCAGGAGCTTCACAATTCAGCGATGCCCAGTGATGAAGGACAGCGCGCTCTCTTGGCCGACCAGAAAGGCCCCGATGGGCCAGAATCGCAGTCACTTCTCTCCGAGTCGCCGACACAGGACTTCGAGCTTGTGAACCATGCGGTCCCGACTAGCTCGACTCCCCGCGGACAGCCGCACCAGTCTTCCATATCACAGCCGGTACCAGAAGGACAGCGCCGCACCCCTCGAACGATGAACCGAGTTCGCTTCGACCTTGACGACGAGACCGAGGACGAGGGCCACCCCAATGGTCGTCGCGACTCCGAAGACTCATGGCTGGAGGAAGAGGACTATGGCCGCGCGGACCGCAACCGGTCAGCAAGGCAAATGGTCCCTCTGTTGACAGACATTGAGGCCCCGAGTGTGACCCTGGCTACTTCCGATGAATTCTTTCCTGAAGAACACCTAGAAAGTGCGAGGCCGAGGAGTGGGATGCGCATGGCCTTTATGAATATGGCCAATAGCATTATAGGAGCGGGGATAATAGGACAGCCTTATGCCCTCCGACAAGCTGGCATGTTCATGGGAATAACGCTCCTGGTTGTCCTCACTATTGCCGTGGATTGGACAATCCGTCTGATTGTGGTCAATTCAAAGTTGAGCGGTGCGGATTCTTTCCAGGCGACAATGCAGCATTGTTTTGGCAAGAGTGGACTCATCGCCATATCGGTTGCGCAGTGGGCGTTTGCGTTTGGCGGCATGATTGCGTTCTGTATTATCGTTGGAGATACCATACCGCATGTCTTGAGTGCCTTATTTCCTTCCCTTCGAGATATGTCGTTCCTCTGGCTTTTAACCGACAGACGCGCTATTATTGTTCTTCTTGTTCTTGGTATTTCGTATCCGCTGTCTCTGTACCGAGACATTGCTAAGGTACAGTATCAGTAATCCACAAAGCTGAATTATACAGTGCTGACTGTTCAATGTAGCTAGGAAAAGCGTCTACCTTCGCATTGATCAGTATGATAGTCATTGTGGTAGCTGTGATAACCCAGGGTTTTCGCGTACCTCCAGAATCACGCGGGGAAGTGAAGAGCCTGCTCCTGGTTAATGATGGCTTCTTCCAGGCTGTTGGGGTGATATCATTCGGTATGTTCTGGCCATTGGTAGACTATGCGATCAAAGAACCGTACTGACTGTTTGCAGCATTCGTATGCCGTATGTAGCATTGTTCCTTTACATGACCTGAGGCTAACAAATACAAAGATCACAATAGCCTTCTGATCTACGGTTCATTGAAGAAACCGACAATGGACCGATTTGCAAGGGTAACCCACTACTCGACCGGTGTCTCACTCTTGATGTGTCTAGCTATGGGTATTTTTGGTTTCCTTTTCTTTGGATCGCAGACTCAAGGAAACGTCCTAAACAATTTCCCATCCGACAATATCCTGGTCAATATCGCACGACTGTAAGATCACGGCCCATGTTTCGCGGATTTTCAAGCTGACCCGAAGAAGATGCTTTGGCCTAAACATGCTCACTACTTTGCCGCTCGAAGCATTTGTATGTCGATCGGTAATGACAACTTACTACTTTCCTGACGAGCCTTTCAACATGAACCGACACTTGATATTCACGTCGGCATTGGTCGTGTCCGCTATGGCTATGGCCTTGATAACGTGCGACCTGGGTGCAGTGTTCGAACTGATTGGCGCGACTAGCGCTGCTGCGCTGGCCTATATCTTTCCACCTCTTTGCTATATCAAGCTGAGCAATGCGTCGCACAAAGCCAAGATTCCCTCATATGTGTGCATCGTATTTGGCATAACCGTAATGGGAGTCAGCCTGTTACAGGCTGTGATGAAGATGATAAGTAGTAGGTCCAAGACCCAATCTATTTTATGGCCTCCGGAATGGCTTTGCTAACAAGTTCCACCTGCTGCCATAGACGAAGGCGGCGCAAGCACCTGCAGTGCTTAGTGTAAAAACTTACCATCCGGTCTTCGAGCATATTCATGTTCACTTCCCATATGATAGACTCTATTTCTTTCTGGCTGCCTCGATAAAAATGTACATACTGTCGTGCCGCCATCACGTTTCTTCAACCATTTCTTGCCTCCTTTCCATAACTTTCAGGTTCCGAGATCGGTTTCTATTTCGATCGAACTGTGTTAGCTGTGTTATGCCACCCGCGACGCTTCAGAAGGCAATACTAGGGACGGAATAGGGATTGTAGTAAAGTGGCTACCGATACACTTGGCATACGAAGACTAGTACCTGATCGATTGCTCCAATTTGAAACTTACTCAAAAGTCTCAAACATGTCCAATCAAGCCGTGCTTATCTTTAAGTGGCTGCAAAGCTGCGTTTGCAGTCATCCTAGTACAGCAGCTATGTACTCACCCACAACACTGAATTGTTTGTTTCACTTAGCCTTCATATGATTCTCGTATCTTCCTTCTGTTAATCGTTCTGACTTTTGAAATATCTGCTCAAAGCACCAGTTGTCATCATACTTGTTTTGTCTTCATAACCTTTACACCTGTCTTTCAGCCAAACCCCTTATTCGTCTCCCAAAACTCAATTGCAATACCTACTGTTATTGCTTTATCCCCGCATTGTGATTCCCCTTCCAGTATTCGGAGTATCTATGCTGCTTTGACTGGTATAGTGGCGACACTCTTTCTACTATTCCTCCCGAACAAAAACATTCTCGTACCGTATCCTCACCCTCGCCTTCCTGACTACCTCTGCTACCTTGAGAATGCCATTCACTTCGGCCTGCTAGTGATGCCCGGTCAACAAGATTTCCCCTCGAGCTACTTCACTCTCTGGTAAAGCTAACGCGTTTAAAAGACGCGTTCCCTTCCTGAGTGAACTCATGGAACTTTCCGTCCCAACTCATTCTTGAGCAGATATCTGAACATCTACTTGCTTCTACAAACGCAACATCATCTCTCTGAGAAGATGGATCCCAATACTTCAGATCGCCTCAAGAGGCTTCAGATGGTACGTTGTGCAAGAAAACAGGATACTCTTTCGTCGCACACGCATTTCGGAGTAGGTTCCATGGCTAATCGAGACTTTCGCCCGTATAGGAAAACCTTGGAACCGCACGACGGGAGTATATCTCAACTGCAGATGACAGGCGACACAAGAAGGCTAGGTTGGAAGACATACAGGCAATACGAATGACAAACGTTCCTGGGTCAGCTGCTCAACGCATGGCCACTGTAAACCAGGGGAGACTTGAGGATTGGGCAAGTAAGTCATCGAAAAGAAGAAACTCCCAAATATCAAGCCTGTTTCATCTTGCTGAATTTCTATACTCTAGATGTCCACAAGACGATAGGTGATACCGAAGACCTGGAGAACCTCGACAGCCTCCTGGATGGACAAAGCCATCGACTTCAGCTAAGCGCCATCATACGTGAAAGTGGAGGGCAAAAATACATAGGGAGTCAAAGGCGCTCTGGTTCTGCTCCGGCTACCAGGTCGTTGCATCCGGTCGGTCGTGGCGGCGGCGTGATAGGCACCCGAGGACGTGGAACAAGGCAGAGCTCTTTACCGTGAGTCTCAAACCTTTTTTCTATACCTATCACAGATTCCTGGCTAAAATATACGTGATATGCAGGCCATCCAATCCTACACCCAGAGGCCATGTTACTCAGCCTCCGAAGCGGTCCCATGGAGATGCAGCTCTTGATGACAATGACTTCTACCGAACGGCTCGTGAAGGAAACGCTTCAAGGAAGGAAGAAGCCATGAGAGCACAAAATAGACGGTCTTGTAAGCTATCGGTATTCGCATTTATGAGATACATGTCGCCTAACAGGATCCTTCTAGCTGTGCGAAGGCCTACGTCTTCTACGACCAGACCGAGAAGACCCGTGTCACAGTATGTTGCAATCGCCTCCCCCGAATGAGATCAATTTGACCCTTACATTTGGATACAGGGTTGACTATAGTAGCATGCTCAGTCAGCCACAGAGTTTCCTTGCTGCCGCTCGCAGTCTGGTTAGCGCTAGAACTACGCCGGCTGCTCCTACTCCTGCCTCCCAAATCTCTCGCGATGGCGGCAGATCTGAGGCCAGCCGAAAATCTTCAAGCCCAATGGATACTACGGATAGGCCTACCGTTCAGAAAACGCAGCAGGAACCGAAGCCCCAAATGGCGGAACCTCCCAAGCCTTTTACCCGTCCAGTAGTTCAGCTACCGGCAATTCCCCCTCGGTGCACAGCTGTGCAGCAAGAGAGTACAACCAAGGCGGACGAACCGCTTCCAGTCTTGCCATCCTCAGCCGTACTTGATGCCACCAGTCAGGATCAAGGGTCTGCATCTATGAGCTTGGGGTCGACTGAGGACGGACAATCTATTTCTGGAATACCTGAAAGTCAAACTGGAACACAAGAAAAAGTTAACTCTGACCTGTCTACAGCGGCAGCTCCCGTACCGGATATTAAAGATACCAGTCCGAAGGCAGCGACTGATGTCAAGGAAGCCATCCTGCTTGACTTTAGCTATACACCACCGGAGCAAAGCATCCATGGCCAAAGTCCTGCTCCTACGGAGGTGCTAACCCCTTCGCTTGAAGATCTAAGAGGCCTTGACTTTAAACAGGACATCCACCCCAAGTTTCCTACTAGAAGAAGAGTTGACTTCGACATGTCTTCTGACAAAAGAGAAGCATCCACCAATGTGCATGATCTCATGCCTACGAAACAGTATGATAAAGCTGAAGCCAGCGAAGATCTGCATCGACAGATCAATATGCTGTGCGAGCTTTTGCAATCGACCTCTCTTTCGGGTGAGCACCGTGAAAGCCTGAAGCAATGCAAGACAGCGCTCGAAGGGAAGTTGCACGGCGCTTATGACTCCACAGGTAAAAGAACTCAAACACAAGGAGACCCTTTCCTTGGAAAGCCGGTCCTTGAAACTCTTGAAGCGGCAGCTGAGCCAGATGAACAACCTCAATCGACTATCAGTGGTCTAGGTATACAGAATGTATCCATGGACAACTTCACCCCTAACAAAGCTGAGACAATAGTCGAACCAGACACACAAGCAACACCCAGCGTCGGTGAAATGATCATGCCTACATCCGTGGAAAATGCCAGACTAGCAATGGCGAGTCCAAGCCCTTCGAGCCGACTGAACGTAACCGCGCCGCCATTTGTCCCAAAGACGCCCTTCCGCGCCCAGTCGAATAGTTTCTCAAGCGATTCAAATGCAACATGCGTGCCTGAAACGCCCTGCCCACACCGCCGAGTTAGCATGCCAGAGGGACACATAATTGGGGACCACCTGCTGCCAGGCAGGCGTAGAGAGACCATATCCTCTGGAACCGAGCCGCTGGCGGCAAAGCAGCCACCGGCCAATGGTAAGTATCACCTGTGATTCCTCTATATAACTTTCATGTCCGATACTAACTTCCACTCCAGAGGTCACTGAACCCCGTTTCAAGTTCTCGATCCCACCGAAAATCTCACGCAAGTTGACCATCAAGACACCAGTCAGGGAAGGATTTGGCAAAGAGGAGACCCCCGGACCAGTTGCTCCACGACTTGCATCAGGAAATATCCCCAAGCCGGCCCCCAAACCTTCAGCTGCTCTGCAGCAGTCTGTCCACGCCCCAAAGGCCAAGCCTTCGTCCGTCCTGGGCGGTCTTGAGAGCTCTAGATACGCGTCGCCATCGAGCAATAAGCCTTTTCGATGACTCTAATGATTAATCGGTGAAAATCAGGTTGTTGTGCTATTTACTGTTTGATCATATTATACTTAGTACTACTACTTAGATAATAACTAAATGTCAAAAGACCGCATATTGTAGGATTAAGCGGGTTTGCTTACGGGTTTATACTTCACTACTTGTTTCGGTAGCAATGAAATATCACACAAGTAACATTTTCCACATAGGTTTTAAACGGGACTCAGACTTCTCATAGTATGAAAGACATTCTATCTAGATAAAAAGCTACAAACCACATTCTTACAGCTTCGCTTTAACCTTGAGCATCGCCTCTGCCACTTTCCGTCGTTGAATCTTACCAGTCGCCGTCTTGGGAATCTGCGGGACCAGCCACACCTGTTTGTTATTTGAGATCAGTCAGTGACCCATCTCTCATCAAAGCAACAACAATGAAGAGGCAACTCACCTTCTTGGGCGTCTTGAACTTAGCCAACTTTGACTCCACCCACGCCTTCAATTCCTCTTCAGTAGCGGCACCATGACTCTTAAGCACCACCGCAGCCCCGATATCCTCCCCATAGTGGCCCTCATCCGGAATAGCGAAGCACACAGCCTCCGCCACCTTCGGATGATGCAAAAGCGTATTATCCAATTCGATCGGACTGATCTTCTCACCTCCCTTATTGATAAGTTCCTTGATACGGCCCGTGATGATAACGTAGCCATCGGCATCTTTCTTGCCCTGATCGCCTGTGCGGAAGAACCCGTCCCCAGTGAAGGATGATGCATTCGCGGACGGGTTGTTCAGGTAGCCCTTTGTTACATTGTCGCCTCGGACGCAAATCTCGGCTTCTTGACCTTGCGGCACTTCGTTGCCGTTGTTGTCGAGGATTCTTACTTCCACGCCTTGGCCTAGACCTACGCTGCCGGGTTGGCGCTTTCCTGGGGGAAGAGGGTTGCTGGTCATTTGGTGGGCGGCTTCGGTCATGGCGTAGGCTTCGAGGACGGGGGCGTTAAAGGCCTTTTCTAGGTCTTGAAAGGTTTTGGGGGAGAGGGGTGAAGAACATGAGCGGATGAAGCGAATTGGAGGAACCGGGTTGGGGAGAGGTGTTTTGAGGAGGATTTGGTGGATGGTTGGTACTGCCGTGTACCAGTTTGCTTTGTGAGTGGTGAAGTCGGTCCAGAAATCTGTTGCGGAAAATCTGGGAGGGACTATTACGGAGCCTCCGGAGTATAGAGGGGCTAGGAATGCTGCGAGGAGACCGTGGACGTGGAAAAGTGGCATTACGAGGTATGTCCGGTCTGCTGGGGTGAGGTTGTATGTTGCTTGGATGTTCCCTGTAGTATGTTAGTGGATCTGTTCAGCGACTGTTTACTGTTGCTTCTGAGTGTGTCTATGTGAAATTGTACTGCTACTTACTCATTGTAGTTGTCAAGTTCTTGTGGGTGAGTGGGACCTGCATGGCAAGTAGTAGATCGGAATGTTAGTGATATGAGGTATCCAATAGGATGTGGGATAGTCGATCGAGCATACAGCTTTGGGCCTGCCAGTCGTCCCACTGGTATGTAGAACGAGGGCAATGTCATCGGGCTGAGCTTCCTGAATATCTGCGCCCCCATTGCCGGCCAGTTTTCCATGTTCCTTGACGTCTAGAACGATCTCGGAACCGTTCCAGTAGCACTCCGCGATAGCAGCCTGGTACTTCCTGCCCGCGCGAACGGCTGGTCCATCCTTTATGTATGACCCCTTCGGAATTAAAAGCAGAGTGGAGCTCAGATCGTCGATGTAGAATTCAAATTCCTCTTGCTTATAGGCCGGATTCAAGGGCGCGGCGATGGCCCGCTGCCAGGAGGCGGCAAGAAAGGCGACTATGAACTCATAGGAGTTAATCAGAGCCAGCGATACCGCAGCGCCATGAGTGACACCCAGTCGAGCTAGCTTAGCCTGGAAATCGGCGATATGGTTGTGTAGCTGCTGATAGGAGATCGACAGCGGAGTGGGTTTATTGGGGACTAGGACAGCAAGGTCAGCACTATCGGAGGAAAATGACCGGGCCAAGGTCGCCATCGTCGCTAGTATGCTGCAGGATAGTAACGCTTAGGGTCTTGGCTTGGCAGGGATGCTGATCGGAATTGAATCAATAGTATTGATGAAGCTCAATTGCTTATGACTCTTGTGAGATGTAGAATCGGAATCCGAGAAAGTATTCACCACAACACGAAGACCACTCTTCTGGGGATTTTGCTCAAGGGATAGGGGTCCCCTTTCGCCTGCCTCCTCAATGCGGCCTCGGGATCTCCTCTTTGGGCTCCGCTTCCCCGTTGATTCCTGTTTGGGACAGCTGATTCGGGTTAGTCACCACCACATGATGTAAACCAGACAAACTATGTAAACTAGACAAACCTCTCCTCATTCTATCGGCCCCGTTCACATTGCTTGGATGAGTGATTGATTGCACACTGGGAAACTGTCGCTTGAACTGTCCCTTGTTGGATCTTGTTCTACTTTCATTTCATATCAGAAATGGCTTCTGATTCCACCCCCGCAAAGCCAGGGGGCACCTTGTCACTCTACGCCAATCTGCTAGATCCCTCTGCCGATAACTCTCCCGGAACGATCGCTCGCGCCCCGGTCGTCTTCAAGCAGAGTAGTACTACCGAGAATAATGACTCTCAGTCCGATGAATCCGCTGCCAAAAAGCAGCAGCTCAGTGCTGGTAGACTCATACCCTCTTCTGTTAACTGAGCCATGTTATCTATATTTGAACGATCTGATTGCTCACTTGTCCGCCCGGTTGCTCTCGTCGGTGGTTTCCAGCTTCTCTCAGATTTCAGCCTACCAAGAGGCCCCAGCTAGCAGCTCAGAAACCGAAACCGAAGCCGACGTTACCAAAGGCTGCTGCTGCACCAGCGGCTCCGGCAGCAGCCCCTGTCAAGACTACTCTCGCAGATTGGGCAGCCACCGAGGATGACGATGTCAATGGATTCTATGCCGGTCCGAAGAGGCAACGAGGTGGGCGCAAGAAGCGCAAGAAGAATCGCGAGGCGCAGGAGTTCATACAAAACTGGGACGACATCTATGACCCGTCGCGACCGAACAACTACGAAGAGTACAAGCACAGTGACGAACAAATAGCTGAGGTGAGGGAGTGGAAAGACCGTCTTTACGCACACCGCATGGCCAGATCGCCCAGCAGGGACTCGCAAAGTGACGATGATTATGCACGACCCATGAACCGTAAGCTATATATTCTCAAGAGCGAGATGTCTATTTGCTCAAAAAACGTTCTAGGTAAATTTGCTCCTCCGAGCAGCTTCGCACCGCCTCCCAATCTCAACGATATGCCGCCCAGGCCACCCATCGAATCACCTCCAGAACGAACAAGCGAAACCCCAGGCGATATTTCAATGTCGGATGCTCCTCCGCCGCCACCCCCGACCGATGAGCCGCCCGCACAAGTTCCGGATGACCCTACAGGCGAAGATGCTTACTTACGGCGCCTCCAAATGTCGATGGGCAACCAGCCTACAGCAGCTCCTGCTGCGCCACCACCACCACCCAGGCCCCTAGAATCCCTACAACCAGCTTCCGCAACTATATCCCGCGCACCGGTTCGCTACACGCTACCTCCTCCACCCGAGGACATACCTGCGTCAGAGGCGGAACTTGAAGAAGTCTTCGCAAAGGAACAGCCAGTGGAAGATGAACCGGAAGATGAGGGCCAGCGCTCGCTGCGGCCAGGACAGAAAGGGTTTGCTGAGCGACTCATGGCCAAGTATGGCTGGACCAAGGGCTCTGGCCTGGGTGCCACGGGCTCCGGCATTGTCAAGCCACTGCAAGTCAAAGTTGAGAAACAGAAGAAACGACCCGACTCTGAAGGTGGAGGCTTTGCGACGCCCGCTGGTCGGGGCAAGATCATTGGTGGCGCAAGAAAGAATGAAGAGGAGGGGAAGTTTGGTCCAATGAGTGAAGTCATTATATTGAAGGGTATGCTTGATGGAATGGACTTGGATGCTGAGTTGGCTGGGGACGGCGAGGGCGGTGGTCTCATGCAAGAAATTGGCGAAGAGTGTTCTGAGAAGGTAGGTGGATGTTTACTCACTACATGGCATAAACTAATGCGGTACAGTACGGTCGTGTTGAACGTGTCTTCATACCCCGCGACTCGGCACCTCCAGTGCCAGTTTTTGTCAAGTTTACCAATCAGCTCTCGGCTCTACGTGTAAGTGCTGCATCCATGTCCCATGCCCATTTCAAGGATCCGGCTAAGAACTATGCATAGGCTGTCAACGCTCTTGAGGGTCGGATCTTCAGTGGAAATGCTATCACTGCCCGGTTCTACGATGTACATACTTTCGAACAGGGGATATACGATAGCTAATAGCGGGAAGGAACTCTGTATATGATACCTCACAAGTTTTGAACTGAAGAATACAAGCGAGAGACATTTGTCTCACATCTATCCATATCTAGCATGTTCGTCTGGAGTGCCACAACAAGACTACTATGAGAATGGATACCTTCCAACAACTCCCACTTATTAACCAGGTCACTGTTTGTATTACCATTAGTGCTTAAGAACCAGGTAGCATGGTTTATCCTATGGGTATCTATACTACTTTGAAGTCATGTAGCATCAAGCGTGAATTAGACTGGCTCCCAGAAATGGGTTCGGACGGCTCCTTGCACAGTGATTGTGGTCTAAATTCACAACCTCAACGCAAGTTGTACGAGATGATTTATTCACCTTGACAAAAAATATTCGCCGTTACCATAACGCAGCTACGCAATAAAGGTGAGGAAGTTGCCGTCGTGGTTGGAGAGTCTAAAATAGCTGTCACTTAGTGCCAGTAAAGTTCCCTCGTTGGGGCATTGGTATCTTCTACTATGTGCTTTGAGCTGGCTCACGGCGATCTTCTGAACTATTTACTGCATGTAAGCTGTGTCTACCCAATAAACTACAATGTACAATGCAAGGACACATGGAAGATTCCATTGGTCCTGTAACCCAAGGCAAAGGAATTTAGTAAATCGAAGACGGGCTGATGGACATATCGACCCAAGTACGTAGTTCGATGCGGATCTATGAGGTCATGTGACAGCGATAACCTGCAGCGCCGCCGGGGACTGATTGGCTGTGGGGCATCAAACCCAGCGATGAGCAGCTGCACGCCCAAGACAGTGTTACTTCGTCTGCGCATTCACGGCCGACCTTAATTTGCCTACCTCACTATCCTTTAAATACCTCAGACCTTGTTCTCCCCGCCTCACTACCTTCTCCTCTTCCCCTCTCCCTCCCAACCTTCTCAACCCTCTCGCCGTCAACCCAGCCTTCTTCGGTTCCAGCCCACCTACGTACTCCGAAACCGCATCCCAAAATGTCGCTTTGCCAGAATCGTCTGACGGAGGAGAGGTATGTGGCTGACAACGTTGCATATGCCTCTTATGGCGTGTCATTCCTCAAACTAACCCCAAACGCGACTATCTACAGAAAGCAGTGGCGCCGAGACCACCCTTTTGGCTTCTATGCAAAGCCGCATCGGACTCCTCAAGGAACACTTGACCTCAAACGATGGGAGTGTGGTATCCCCGGAAAGGCGCAAACCCTCTGGGAAGGCGGGCTTTTCAAGCTTGACGTTACTTTCCCCGATGGTGAGTGAAGTCTATCGACGGGTGCTTTATGCGACAAACCTGCTAACCCGCGTTCTATCGCAGAATACCCCACTAAGCCGCCGAAGTGTAGGTTCCCCTCTCTGCCGTACTATTCCCAACGCCACCCTTCTGCGCTATTTGGTTTTCCCCCCTGTGGCACTTCTCGCACAGTAAGCTAACCAGATCATCCACATTCAACAGGCAAATTCGTGCCTCCGCTTTTCCACCCCAACGTCTATCCATCCGGCACTGTGTGTCTTTCGATCTTGAACGAGGAGGAGGCATGGAAGCCCGCAATCACGATCAAGCAGATCCTTCTTGGTATTCAGGACCTGCTAGACGACCCCAACCCTGAGTCACCAGCTCAGGCTGAAGCCTACAACTTGTTCAAGAAGGATCGGCCAGCGTATGAGAAGCGAGTTAGACAAGTCGTGAGGGAGAACCCGGCCCTTTAATACCGCTCAACGACGGCATGACAAGTTGTTATCTTACCATGAAGCTACTCTCCCGCTCGTCGTGTGTTTAATTCGGCCCCCGATCTCATCCCATGTCTGCGAATTTCACGGCGGATATGGCGGCTTGATAGTCTTAGACCAGCTGTTCCCACGTGGGGTAGAAGGACGGGAAGCCTTCCAAGAGGGAGAGCGCAAGTACACCCACCCGGGATTTCACGATAATGCTGAGCGCGCCATTCCTGTCAAACGGGTTTCGAAATGTCGCATTGGCGCAGGTGTGTCTTCACTAATTCCTGTCTTGGAGGGTGTCGAATACTCGGGTTTCTTCTTAGCGAGCAGCGTGGCGTACATAGAACTGACAAAACTGGGCGGTTCGGGACGGCGTTTGACACTCTAATGCGATTTATCTAGCTTATGTCTCTTCTTTCTCTTGGGATGCTCGCACACTTCTACGTCTACCATAGGGGGTGCATGTTGGTGACCGATTTTCGGATGATCATACCATAGAAAGACGGCTTGTGCCCCCTGGGTGGGGGGAAGGGTCCTCTCTAATCGACTCCAACTCAAAGTGTCTCCAATCTGTCATCCTTAGTGCGTAAAAGTAAAACAAGTTCCAGAAAGATCAAAAATCTGGAGAAAGTACTTTTAGTAGAAAATGTGGGGGATGTGCAGGCTGTGAAGGGAAAATGGACAACAGTTGAACGTTGGGACCAGAGACCAGACCCAACCTGTCAGGGCACAACCAATAAGGATGACATAGAAAGAAAGTAACCGTTGCAGAAATTCAGTTTCTGTGTACGAGTTTCGCGGCTATCTTATCGGAAGTGAGTCACTGAGATTTGTGGCCGAAATCGCCCCTCGGGTTCCGCCCCGCCGCCGCGAACGGGTGTCGCTTTTCCAATCCATATTTAAGATTTCCCGCTTCATCTCTCTCTCTTCCCCTTGGTCTCCTATCTTCGATTAGTCAATTGCTTCCTTTTCTTTCCCTTTTGCTGTCTACTTGAGTCGGTTGGTCAATTGATCGTAGTCAGCATGTGTGGTATCTTCGCGTGTCATCAGTATGTGGGCTAGTTTTGGAATCTTTTCTCTCCCCTCTCTCTCTCTCTTTGACCTTTCTGCGGGCCCCGCGCCAAAATCGCTCTCCATTTGAGTCACACCCTCTGATCTGAACTGCCATAGTCACCCCGATGTGCAAAAATTCAAGCTTACGGCCCTGCGCATGGCCAAGGCGTAAGTATAATCCCTTCTCTTTTGGTGGTGAATTTGGTGCTGATTGCCGTTGAACAGTTTGCGCCACCGTGGTCCCGATTGGAGTGAGTCATAATGCTCTTTTTGGCCGGCATGCTGGTGGAGGACCTTTTTTCTGACTTGTGTTTAGGTGGAAGCTGGATGTCTGACAAGACCAGTGAGTTGAGCAGCTTCGTGGCTGGAAGAAGGTGGCGACTAACTGTCTGGCAGTCCTCGCGCACGAGCGACTGTGTATCGTCGGTGTTGGTATGTGATGTTTTACCCTGCCGCAGCTTTTTTTTCTTAGAAACCCGTGCTAATTTGGTTCCCTTTCAGACTCCGGTGCCCAGCCCCTTGTCAACGACGATGGCTCCCTTGCCTTGGCCGTCAACGGCGAGATCTATAACCACCGTATCCTCCGGAAGGGACTGAAGACCAAGTATCAGTTCAAGACGCATTCCGACTGTGAGGTCGTCATTCCCTTGGTATGTGCAAAGGATCCTTGATGGCATGGCGTGTATCTGTATAGGGTTGCTGATGGTTTTAGTACATGGAACACGGACTCGATGCTCCCAAGCACCTGGATGGCATGTTCTCCTGGGTTCTCTATGACAAGAACCAGGACAAGGTTGTCGCCGCTCGTGATCCCATCGGTATCACCAGCTTCTACATTGGCTGGTCCTCTGAGACCCCCGGAGCCGTCTACTTCGCTTCCGAGCTGAAGTCTCTCCACCCGGTTTGCGACAAGATCGAGGCTTTCCCTCCCGGCCACATCTTCGACTCCAAGACCGGCTCTTTCACCCGCTACTTCCAGCCTACCTGGTGGGATCCCGCCAACGTTCCCTCCGCCCCTGTCGACTACAAGGTCATCCGCGCTTCCCTCGAGAAGTCTGTTCGCAAGCGTCTGATGGCTGAGGTCCCCTATGGTGTCTTGCTTTCCGGTGGTCTCGATTCCAGCTTGGTCGCCTCCATCGCTCAGCGGGAAACTCTGCGTATGCAGGAGGCCGCCAGGGCTGCTCAGGCCCAGGGTGCTGAGCTGAACGAGTTGGTCGGCATTGACGACTCCAACGATCTGTCCACCGTCACCACCTTCCAGCAGCTGCACTCCTTCTCGATTGGTCTGCCTGGTGCCCCCGATACCGAGGCGGCCCTCAAGGTGGCCAAGTTCCTCGGAACCAAGCACCATGCTTTCACTTTCACCGTTGAGGATGGTCTCAACGCCCTCTCCGACGTCATCTACCACCTGGAGACTTACGATGTCACCACCATCCGTGCTTCCACCCCCATGTACCTGCTCAGCCGCAAGATCAAGGCTATGGGTGTCAAGATGGTTCTCAGTGGTGAGGGTAGTGATGAGATCTTCGGTGGATACCTTTACTTCCACGCTGCTCCCGACCGTGAGGAGTTCCACAAGGAGACTGTCCGCCGTGTCAAGAACCTGCACTTGGCGGATTGCCTGAGAGCCAACAAGTCCACCTCTGCCTGGGGTCTGGAAGCCCGTGTTCCTTTCCTGGACAAGGAGTTCCTTGAGACTTGCATGGGTGTTGACCCTGCCGAGAAGATGATCACCAAGGAGCGTATTGAGAAGTACATCCTGCGCAAGGCGTTCGACACCACCGACGAGCCCGACGTCAAGCCCTACCTGCCCGACAACATTCTCTGGCGCCAGAAGGAGCAGTTCAGTGACGGTGTCGGCTACAGCTGGATCGATGCCCTCAAGGACCAGGCTGAGGCGCACGTCACCGACGAGATGATGAAGAACCCCAAGCCCGAGTGGGGTAGCGATATCCCCGACACCAAGGAAGCGTATGTTTAGAGTTCTGTATCATTGTATGGTTGAAGACAAGGACTGACATTCGATTAGCTACTGGTACCGCACGATGTTCGACGAACTTTTCCCAGCTTCTTGTGCCGGCACTGTTGAGCGTTGGGTACCGACCTGGTCGAAGCAGACCGACCCGAGTGGCAGGTAAGCATATGATGCATCAGAACGCAGAAGAAAACAGACAGCTGATATGTTTGACCTTTTTTTCCAGAGCTATTGCGACTCACAACGCCAAGTATGAAAACGCCGTTTAAATGTCTGGGTAATGAATATTGCGTGTCTTAACTTCTTGCGGAGAGTTTGGGTATAGAAACATGTATAGATGATTTACCAGGGATACTCATTGGGACGCGAAAAAAAAGCGAATTTCAGTTAGATGCGTCGGGATCACCGCGTATTGATATTTCCTTTTCTTCATCTA